AACAGGTGGCTTTCCCACCAAGCATACTAATGGATGAACAGATGGCTTTCCAACCAAACATACTAATGGATGAACAGGTGGCTTTCCCACCAAACATACTAATGGATGAACAGATGGCTTTCCCACCAAACATACTAATGAATGAACAGGTGGTTTTCCCACCAAACATACTAATGGATGAACAGGTGGCTTTCCCACCAAGCATACTAATGGATGAACAGATGGCTTTCCAACCAAACATACTAATGGATGAACAGGTGGCTTTCCCACCAAACAGATTAATGGATGAACAGGTGGCTTACCCACCAAACATATTCTGCCGACATACCAATGAATGAACAGGTGGCTTTCCCACCAAACAGATTCTGCCGACATACTAATGGATGAACAGGTGGTTTTCCCACCAAACATACTAATGGATGAACAGATGGCTTTCCCACCAAACAGATTCTGCCGACATACTAATGGATGAACAGATGGCTTTCCCACCAAACAGATTCTGCCGACATACTAATGAATGAACAGGTGGCTTTCCTACCAAACAGATCCTGCCTTGTTTGCCACTTTAGCTTCTTTTTCCTTCTTTCGCCCATTTAAGGGAAGTTAGTAGGTAGTTTTGTGGTTTTCGGCTAGGCTGAGAAATCTGCATCTGTATGGCCACGATATCTGATTTCAGCATATCCCTGATTGTTTGTCTTTGACAATATGCTTGTTGGGACAGAGGCTCTGTTTTGTTCCCTCTCTCACATAAGGCAACTGTGGGGCAACTGTGGGGCAACTGTGGGGCAACTGTGGGGCAACTATAGTGCAACTATGGGGCAATATGGGGCAAATATGGGCAACTATTTGGCAAATATGGGGCAACATTAGGGCAAATATGTGGCAAATATGGGGCAAATATGGGGCAACTATGGGGCAAATATGGGGCTACTATGGGGCAACTTTGGGACAACTATGGGGCAAATATGGGCAGCTATGTGGCAACTATTGGGCAACTATGGGACAAATATTGGGCAACTGTGGTGCAACTGTGGGGCAACTGTGGTGCAACTATGAACCTCTTTTAACTACAGTGAAAAATCGAAAAATGTAATGGTATGGACATGTAATAAGATCTAACGGCCTCTCAGAAACAACACTGCAGGGCTTGTTAGAGGGAAAGAAGAGAATAGGCAGACCAAGAAAGACCTGGTTACAGAACCTGACTGACTGGACATGCCTCAGGCATGCAACCATAAGTCCATCACAAGTGGCCGCCAAAGGTGGAGGGAGCTGATCAGTCAACAGAAACTGGTGACCCAACAACGTCAACGACACGTAGTGTTACTGGATGATGATGATGATGACATGGGAGCCTCTGAAAAGAATCAGCGATGCCACAATAGGGATCCCACACGAGAATGTCACAATAGGAAACCTACACGGGATTTTACAATAGAAAACCCACACATGTTTGTCACACTAGAGAACCCACACAGGGATGTCACACTAGAGAACTCACACAGGGGTGTCACAATAGAGAACCCACACAGGGGTGTCACAATAGAGAACCCACACAGGGGTGTCACACTAGAGAACCCACACAGGGGTGTCACACTAGAGAACCCACACAGGGATGTCACACTCGAGAACCCACATAGGGGATGTCACAATAGAGAACCCACACAGGGATGTACTAATAGAGACCCCACATAGGGCTGTCCCACTAGAGAACAAACAGGGGTGTCACACTAGCTTTCCCCCACACAGGGATGTCACAATAGAGAACCCACACAGTGATGTGTCCTAGAGAACATAAACAGGGGTGTCACAATAGAGAACCCACACAGGGATGTCACAATAGAGGACCCATACAGGATGGTCACAATAGAGAAACCCACACTAATGGCATGTTACACTAGAGAACCCACCACAGGGGTGTCACAATAGAGAACCCACATAGGGGCTGTCACAATACCAAACGCACATAGGGATGTCACATTAGAGAATCCCACAGGGATGTCACAATAGAGAATGGATGAACAGGGATGTCACAATAGAGAACCCACATAGGGGATGTCACATTAGAGAACCCACACGGGGATGTCCCAATAGAGAACCCACACAGGGATGTCACACTAAGGACCCACACAGGTGGATGTCACAATAGAGAACCCACATGGGGGATGTCACAATAGCTTTCCCACATAGGGGATGTCACAATAGAGAACCCACACAGGGATGTCACACTTTCCCACCACACAGGGGTGTCACAATAGAGACCCACACAGGGGTGTCACACCAAACACCCACACAGGGGTGTCACAATAGAGAACCCACATAGGGATTCACACTAGAGAACACATAGGGATGTCACAATAGAGAACCCACATAGGTATGTCACACTAGAAACCCACACAGGGGTGTCACAATAGAGGCTTTCACAGGGGTGCCACACTAGAGACCCACACAGGGGTGTCACACTAGAGAATCCACACAGAGGTGTCACAATATAGAACCCACACAGGGGTGCCACAATAGAGAACCCACATAGGGATGTCACACTTGAGAAACCACACAGGGATGTCACAATAGAGAACCCACACACAGGGATGTCACACTAGAGAACCCACACCAAAGGGGTGTTACACTAGAGAACCCCACAGGGGATGTCACAATAGAGAAACCCACATAGGGGATGTCACAATAGAGAACCCACATAGGGGATGTCACATAGAGAACCCACAAAGGGATGTCACACTAGAGAACCCACATAGGGATGTCACAATAGAGAACCCACACAGGGATGAACAATAGAGAACCCATATATGGGGTGTCACAATAGAGAACCCACACAGGAATGTCACACTAGAGAACCCCACAGGGGGTTGTCACAATACCAAACATACATAGGGATGTCACAATAGAGAACCCAGATGGCTTTCCCACAATAGAGAATTCACATATGGGTGTGTCACAATAGAGAACCCACACAGGGATGTCACAGTAGAGAACCCACACAGGGGTGTCACAATAGAGAACCCACACAGGGATGTCACAGTAGAGAACCCACACAGGGATGTCACAATAGAGAACCCACACAGGGGTGTCACAATAGAGAACCCACACAGGGGTGTCACAATCCCACACAGGGGGTGTCACAATAGAGAACCCACCTGGGGGTGTCACAATAGAGAACCCACACAGGGATGTCACAATAGAGAACCCACATAGGGATGTCACAATAGAGAACCCATATATGGGGTGTCACAATAGAGAACCCACACAGGGGTGTCACAATAGAGAACCCACACAGGGGTGTCACAATAGAGAACCCACACAGGGGTGTCACAATAGAGAACCCACATAGGGATGTCACAATAGAGAACCCATACAGGGGTGTCACAATAGAGAACCCACACAGGGGTGTCACAATAGAGAACCCACACAGGGGTGTCACAATAGAGAACCCAAACAGGGGTGTCACAATAGAGAACCCACACAGGGATGTCACAATAGAGGACCCATACAGGGATGTCACAATAGAGAACCCACACAGGCATGTTACACTAGAGAACCCACACAGGGGTGTCACAATAGAGAACCCACATAGGGGATGTCACAATAGAGAACGCACATAGGGATGTCACATTAGAGAATCCACACAGGGATGTCACAATAGAGAACCCACACAGGGATGTCACAATAGAGAACCCACATAGGGGATGTCACATTAGAGAACCCACACGGGGATGTCACAATAGAGAACCCACACAGGGATGTCACACTAGAGAACCCACACAGGGAATGTCACAATAGAGAACCCACATAGGGGATGTCACAATAGAGAACCCACATAGGGGATGTCACAATAGAGAACCCACACAGGGATGTCACACTAGAGAACCCACACAGGGGTGTCACAATAGAGAACCCACACAGGGGTGTCACACTAAAGAACCCACACAGGGGTGTCACAATAGAGAACCCACATAGGGATGTCACACTAGAGAACCCACACAGGGATGTCACAATAGAGAACCCACATAGGTATGTCACACTAGAGAACCCACACAGGGGTGTCACAATAGAGAACCCACACAGGGGTGCCACACTAGAGAACCCACACAGGGGTGTCACACTAGAGAATCCACACAGAGGTGTCACAATATAGAACCCACACAGGGGTGCCACAATAGAGAACCCACATAGGGATGTCACACTTGAGAACCCAAACAGGGATGTCACAATAGAGAACCCACACACAGGGATGTCACACTAGAGAACCCACAAAGGGGTGTTACACTAGAGAACCCACACAGGGGATGTCACAATAGAGAACCCACATAGGGGATGTCACAATAGAGAACCCACATAGGGGATGTCACAATAGAGAACCCACAAAGGGATGTCACACTAGAGAACCCACATAGGGATGTCACAATAGAGAACCCACACAGGGATGTCACAATAGAGAACCCATATATGGGGTGTCACAATAGAGAACCCACACAGGAATGTCACACTAGAGAACCCACATAGGGGATGTCACAATAGAGAACCCACACAGGGGTGTCACAATAGAGAACCCACACAGGGATGTCACAATAGAGAACCCACACAGGGGTGTCACAATAGAGAACCCACACAGGCATGTTACACTAGAGAACCCACACAGGGGTGTCACAATAGAGAACCCACATAGGGGATGTCACAATAGAGAACCCACACAGGGATGTCACAATAGAGAACCCACACAGGGATGTCACAATAGAGAACCCACACAGGGATGTCACAATAGAGAACCCACACAGGGGTGTCACAATAGAGAACCCACACAGGGATTAAATTCATATTAAAACATTGAAATCCATGCGGCACATAATGATGTCTTTGACGGGCTGAGGCGATCCTGTTTATCCACATCTGCCGGTCTCCAACAGAATAATTAATTCAAGCGCTGACGTCTGTCCATAAAATGTCAAAAGGCTGAATCTTTTCTCTCATGTCTTTTTCATGTTATGTTTTCCAGTTTTCATATGTTCCACTTTTTCTCTTCTAAAAATATTGCCAAAACAGGACGATTGTCTGTGTCTGGTGTTGGTAATATGTCTGGTGTTGGTAATGTGTCTGGTGTTGGTAATGTGTCTGGTGTTGGTAATGTGTCTGGTGTTGGTAATGTGTCTGGTGTTGGTAATATGTCTGGTGTTGGTAATGTGTCTGGTGTTGGTAATGTGTCTGGTGTTGGTAATATGTCTGGTGTTGGTAATATGTCTGGTGTTGGTAATGTGTCTGGTGTTGGTAATGTGTCTGGTGTTGGTAATGTGTCTGGTGTTGGTAATGTGTCTGGTGTTGGTAATGTGTCTGGTGTTGGTAATGTGTCTGGTGTTGGTAATGTGTCTGGTGTTGGTAATATGTCTGGTGTTGGTAATATGTCTGGTGTTGGTAATATGTCTGGTGTTGGTAATATGTCTGGTGTTGGTAATGTGTCTGGTGTTGGTAGTGTGTCTTTGTGTTTTTCATCTCTGTGAAAATATTTGGTTTCATTTTTGGGTGAAGATAATGGACTTCAAAATGGATAAACCTTTTATTTTTATTATTATTATTATTATTATTATTATTATTATTATTATTATTACTATTATTATTATTATTATCATTATTATTATTGTGCTTCTTCTTCTTCTTTCTTCTTCTTTTTCTTCTTCTTCTTCTTCTTCTTCTTCTTCTTCTTCTTCTTCTTCTTCTTCTTCTTCTTCTTCTTCTTCTTCTTCTTCTTCTTCTTCTTCATCTTCTTTTCCTCCTCCTCCTGGTCCTCCTCCTCCTCCTGGTCCTCCTCCTCCTTCTTCTTCTTTTTCTTCTTCTTCTTATTATTATTATTCTCCTCCTTCTTTTCCTCCTTCTGTCTATTATCCCCTAATGGACCACTAGCCCTCAACCACAGCTGATGCCATGGAAGCATGTAAAGCTCCAGAATACACACAGTTCTTTATTATGGAAAAATAACAGGGCGCTCTATGGACTAAGCTTTCGGATAACGACCAGGGTCAGAATCTAACTCGATTGCGTGAGTGAAACCTGACAAGCACGTATATGGCGTCTTTGGGGTCATTATAACCTTCTCATGACAAAATACTCGGAAGATTGCGTATTGACGGAAAAACCTAATGTGCAGTGAAGTCAATCGTGTTAACATAAAATATACTTTTGAAATAATAAATTAATTGTCATTTTTAAAGTAATAACGCAGACAACGACACTAAAAGGGAGGACACACTAACTGGGGAAAATACACCCATTTCTCCAGAAAGGTCTCGGGAAAATAACAAATCTGGAAATCCCCTGCAAATAGGAATTTCCGTTTTATCAAATGAACTTCCGGGTTACATTGCAAGGTTCTGTGTGGGATATAACTAAACGGACACACAAAAATAATACGACTATCCATTTAGTCCTATCGTGAATCCAGCATAGTAGATGAATAAAGAGGATTTATCAGTTTTGTATCAAGAAAGAACAGGTTCTAAAGAACAGGTTCTAATTATCGCCACAGAAAGGCCTCTGCTGAAATTTGTATTTTGGAAATTGGATATATTCGTACTTGTTACTATTCGTCATCCTGTCATGAACGGATTAAAGACGTTAACTAGTGTTGCACTAAATGTCTGTTTTCATCTATCGTCCTAAACCTCCTCTTCCCATCTATTCGCGTAAATGACGCGCCCATGTGTTCCTCTATCATCTATTTCTACCTTCCTGTTTACCCGCCTGTGTGTCCTTCTCCCCTTCTAATTGCTCGTCTTCCATTCTACCCGCCTAAACGTGCGTCTTCTCATCTACCCGCCTAAACGTCCGTCTTCCCATCTACCCACCTAAACCTCCGTCTTCCAATCTACCCACCTAAACCTCCGTCTTCCCATCTACCCGCCTAAATGTCCGTCTTCCCATCTTTACGCCTAAACTTGCGTCTTCTCATCTACCCGCCTAAATGTCCGTCTTCCTGTCTACCCTCCTATATGTCTGTCTTCCTGTTTATCCACCTAAATGTCCGTCTTCCTGTCTACCCTCCTATATGTCCGTCTTCCTGTCTATCCGCCTATATGTCCGTCTTCCTGTCTATCCGCTTATTTGTCCGTTTTCCTGTCTGCTCGTCTATATGTCCGTCTTACTGTCTACCCACCTAAATGTCCGTCTTCCCATCAGCCCGCCTAAATGTCCGTTTTCCTGTCTACCCTCCTATATGTCTGTCTTCCTGTCTATCCGCCTATATGTCCGTCTTCCTATCTACCCGCCTATATGTCTACCTATATTTTCCACCAACACCCCTGTGTACAAACTCGAGAACCACTATTGAAATACTGTCCAAGGGTTAAACCCTGCAGCAAAGATCCGGCTGGGACACCCCAACATCCCCCAGGTAACCACCCAGCAGGAAGCTATATATATATATACACTCTGTGTCTGGAATACTGTCTGTAATCAAGCTGCATTATCTCCAACTAAGTCTTCCAATACAAAGTCTCATTTCCAAGCAGTATTCAATACAATAATATCCTGTTCAACCCATTCGGGTTATAATTGGGATCCATGGAGTATGTTTACGGCAAAGTGGAAATTGACAATGATGATTGTTAATAATTGCATGGCAATTCTATAACAAACTGGTGCGAATTTACCGGAAAACTTTGCTGTAGGTTTAATCAAGGAAAAATTTACATCCTGTTTTGTTAGTGGTCGACTAAAATCCTGTAACGTTTAAAATGACGACAACGATGGGTTTGTGCAGGTTGGCAGTTGTTTTCTCTGTGTTAACATCGGCAATGGCTGGCGTCAACCCTGGGGTACAGATGAGGATGACAGAGAGAGGGCTCAACTACGGTAAGATACAATGTATAACACTGATACTCTCAGTAACAATTATACAATTGAAATGTCATTCTTTAATATCTATGACATTAACTCTTTTGCACTAGGCTGTCCTGTCTTCAGCGTCGCTGCACCCCCCTGTCCTAGTGTGTGCTTTAGAGTAACCATTTTTGGTTTAAAGGGTCAATGAAATAAGGAAATATTAATCTGTTACAACTACGGGGCAAACTGAACTGAAATTTAATGATGAAGTTAAGGAGACCGTTAAAGAATGGAACAGATGAAGTTGAGAGGGTAAACCGCTTGCATAATAGTTAACGAATGTGTGGTGTATTATCTTGTACTCAAAGAGTTAAAATAATGAACTTTTTATCGAAGGAAATTATTACAATTAAAAGGAGATTGACCAGCATTCATCTACTGCTGAGCTGTTTGTTTCGTTTCTATTCGCTACCAGTTTTAGATATCCCACCATAACAAACCGTTAGAAACGCGAGGAGATGATGGGCGTTCAGTTGATGAGAACAGAACAGTCATCGTCGTCTGTCGTTTTTACACTTGTAGGGCATTTCAGGGGAAGATCGGAGCACCCGTGGATCTGTCCGGAGTGTTGAATGATGATCCTTGATAATCACTGTAGTCCATGCCAAACTGTTTGCCAAACACGGGTGGTCTTGTGTTGAACTGAGGGGGCCACAGAAATAACCGTTGGTCGTTACAAGATCATCATCACTTCACAGTGACTCACATCACATACTTCAAAGTGAAGTCAGACCATCGACTCCCACTTTATAGAAATTATTCAAAAAAACAAAAACAAAAATAGTAGACTTAAACGAGGCCAATCCTGGATAGGTCGGGCTAAGGATGCCATCGAATATGTTTGCCGCCTTACTGACATTAATTTTGGAAATGACAGGATAATGATGCCCCCCTCTCCAAACATGAATATTTATTACAGTCAATAATATCACACTTGATGGAAGCTGTAGAGAGCAGATTCCTGGCATTGTTGACACTGTAGTCAGAACACTGACTGATTGACAAAAACACAGGTGATGTTATAATTTACACAGATGGGTCAGTAATTAGGGGCAAGCAAGGTGCATGGGCTTTCACAGTAAGCTCAAGGCAAAAAACCATCAAGGAGATGAATGGCGCCTTTGCTGTTACAACTAGTAGCCTTACAATGGAAACTATCGCTGGAACAAGGGCTTTAGCATGGCTTGGTACTCAAAAGTTCACACACATATGCATTCTTAGTGACTCAATGAAAATGCTTTGAAAAAATCCAAGCTGGAATTATCAGGCAAGAATGGATTGAAACACTAAGCATTTCACGAATATCTGCCTTAACCTTCATCTTTGTGCCAGGTGATTGCGGGTGTTCAGAGGGAACGAGCGTGCAGACTATCTTGCTGACACTTCAGTTGCTATGGCTGGCCCAGTACTGGACATAAGTGATGTTATCAATGCTATGCGCTGCACTTACCGTACCGAGGAGAACACCAAAGGTCATGACTCCATATCCCTGTCTAGACTGATGGACATGGGGGTACAGCCTGGATCTGCAAGAAATGAACATTTCACTGAGGACAAGACCTTTCATTAACCAACACAGAACCGGCGTCATCAGTGGTTTTACACTTGTGGAGCTTTTGAAGAGGAGATCGGAGCAGCTATGGATCTGTCCGGAGTGCTGTGATGATAATTCTTTCTTCTAATCACTAGTACATCATCACAGAGAAATGGTCATGTTCTTCAGGTTCAGGTTAAACCTTTCAAACCATCACTGGAACCAGCCAGTCTCTCTAAAGCAAGGCAGCCTATTTCATTTATCGTATTCAACTGTTTGTAGCAGTTGGTGGAACTGGAAAGCAGCAGAATATTATCACTTGGTTAATTGTAATATTTTTTTCATATAATAGTACATATTCATTCTTTTGCTTTCTAATATTCATTAATAATATGATAATATTTATTAAGAAAGAAATCAAAAAAAAATAATATACTCCAATTAAAACCTTACTAGACGGACAAGATTAACACAATCGAGCATAGAGTTGACAGTGGTACAAATGGGGAGATAATATTTAGAGATGAACAGCAGTGCGGAGGACAAGACAGTGTTTGAGATATCCAGTATGGCCAACAATTACAAAAATAGCACTTGAGTGATAGTGACTTAAATATCATCAGAGAAAAGCTATGTTAGAATATGTGAACATGGAATTAGGAGAGGATCCAGGAAGGAGGGATGTACTGGGAAAAGAATGTGTATAGTCAATACAATGGGAACAGTTAGCATCTACGCATCAAGTCATTTTCTGGTGTGAGATGGAGCCTGTATGTGTGTGGTTGGTGTGCTTTGATATCAATTCTTAAATCAGGAAGCTGAATTAAGAAATCTGGTGAAGAATTCTCACGGGATCAAGAATACTGTATACAGTTAAGATGAGAAAGACAATTGTTACAATCTGTATTCAACCTAAATATTTTTTTCTAGAATAGTAAGGTGCCGGTACCCACAAAAAAGTATCTTATAAGAGGTGGCCTGTTGCCTGCTATTTTGTAATTGTTATACCAGAATCACATCTGTTGTCAATATTCACTTGTGGCTGGGTAGGCTCTCTCATTTGGAGATGTCATTCTCGCACTGCCTACTCTTTTCCAGTTCCTGCTGATAACAAATTAAGTTACGTGAATACGTGTAGTCCTGATTGTTCACACTTGTCTGAAGCAGCTAGATGTTAAATCCGCTACCTCTAATATGGAGGGCAAAAAAAAGGGGGAAGGTAGGTTATTTGTGAACATCCACACTGTGAATCGAACTAGATCCTCAAGAAGCAGTCTACATTGTGGGAGGGGGGCATGTTGTGAGAAAGGCCAAACATGATTATGTGGTGGAATCATGGAAACTTTGGACGAGGGAGAGGCAGAGGGACACAGAGAGATGATGGGCAGTATGACATTGAGGATAGTGTGTACAAACGGTGACTGACAGTACAGGATGCTGGGGACAAACATGATACATGGCATGGACTCTCAGTAGTTTTTTTTTTTCTTTGGGCTTTCTGATATTCTGGTATAATTGATAAGTTTCCTTTGTATGTTTTGTTATTCATCATATAAATTCTGGGGCTCCACTGGGAGCAGATGGCAGATTTGGGGGGCAGAGAGAAAGAATAGACACACTGCCTCCCTAGCAACCATATCGAAAAAGGCAACTAATTTAGGATTTGCTGATATTGAATGTTATGCTGAAAGGTGTCGATTTTTCAGCCTAGCTGTAGTCCACAACGTCATCTGGTCTTTTAAGGATGAGCATGGAAGAAGAAGAAATTACCATTCTTATTCTTTTGCTTATTTACTAGTTCTCCATAACTCACATCCATATGATAAGAAGATGTATTCACTAAATTTAGAAATCTTTGTATTGCTTGTAAGGACATAAATGTATGAGGGTGAACACATGTTATTGTCTTCAAATTTTATCAAGTGAACACACTAGCGGAAAATTCTATCAAGGCTGAACTACAAGCCCTGAAAATAGATGACCAGTCAGGCCACAGCGGTCATTTGTCCTGGGAGTTGAACCAGTAAGTGTTTTGTTAGCTTCCAACCAAACGTATGAAATTATTCTGAACCTGTTCTGTGTTTGTCACTTTGTGGATTTCTGTATAAAAATAAAGAACCATGTTTCATACTGTGCAGTCTATCAGTTGTATGAGTTTTTTTGTGTTTTTTTTTAAATAAGCAACTTTGAGAAATGTGGTTCAGTGGCTAGACACTTATCGGTTGATCGGAAGGTCAGGGGTTTAGGTCCTGATGGAGCCGGACTCTTGTCAGAAATGACCTTGGCTCGCAGGTCGACCCAGCTGACCATGGCTCCCAGGTCGACCCAGCTGAAAATGGCTACCAGGTGAATTCCTGGGAAGTAAAGGTGGCTGGTGGTGTGATGCTGACCACTCACCCACCAAGTGCTGATAGCCTCTAAAATACAAGTCCAGCCCTGCATGCCCACATGTGAGGAAAAAAAAACTGATCAAAGCAGCAAACATTTCTCATTTAGAACACAATCTCAAAGACTCAATCAACCTGCTGACACACAAGAAACACACTACTGAATTCACACTGCAAGCTGGACATAAGACTCCACAAAAAACACACTACTGAATTCACACCCCAAGCTGGACATAAGACTCCACAAGAAACAACACTACTGAATTCACACCGCAAGCTGGACATAAGACTCCACAAGAAACACACTACTGAATTCACACTGCAAGCTGGACATAAGACTCCGCAAGAAACACACTACTGAATTCACACTGCAAGCTGGACATAAGACTCCACAAGAAACACACTACTGAATTCACACCGCAAGCTGGACAAAAGACTCCACAAGAAACACACTACTGAATTCACACCGCAAGTTGGACATAAGACTCCACAAGAAACACACTACTGAATTCACACCGCAGGCAGGACATAAGACTCCACAAGAAACAACACTACTGAAATTCACACCGCAAGCTGGACATAAGACTCTACAAGAAACTACTAAATTCACAAAACTGACATTTGATGATCATGAGTATGAAGGTGACTGGTAAAACTGACATTTGATGATCATGAGTACAAAGGTGACTGGTAAAACTGACATTTGATGATCATGAGTATGAAGGTGACTGGTAAAACTGACATTTGATCATCATGAGTACAAAGGTGACTGGTAAAACTGACATTTGATGATCATGAGTACAAAGGTGAATTCACACCAAACTGACATTTGACTGATCATGAAAGTACAAACTGGTGACTGGTAAGCTGGACATAACATTTGAAACACACTGACTACAAATTCACACTGCAGACTGGATAAAACTGACATGAAATGATCATGAAGTACGCAAGGTGACTGATCCACAAGAAAACTGACATGTGATGATCATGAGTACAAAGGTGACTGATTCAAACTGCAACATGTAATGACTTCATGAGTACAAAGGTGACTGGAATTCACAACATTTGACATAATCATGAGTACAAAGGTGACTGATAAAACTGACAAGTGACATAAGATCATTAGTACAAAGGTGACTAAATTCAAACTGACATGTGATGATCATGAGTACAAAGGTGACTGATAAAACTGACATGTGATAGACATGAGTAGAAACAGGTGACTGGTCAAAACTGGACATTTGATGATCATGACTACTGAAGGTGAGCTGGACATAACTGACTTCACATGATCATGATTCATGCAAGCTGACATAAGACTCAACAGAAACACACTACTGAATTTATCATCATGAGTACAAAGGTGACTGGTAAAACTGACATTTGACACTGCATGCTGTACATAAGGTGACTGATAAAACTGACATTTGATGATCATGAGTACAAAGGTGACTGGTAAAACTAACATTTGATAATCATGAGTACACAGGTGACACATAAAACTGACATGCAAGATGATCAAAAGTACAAAGGTGTACTGAAATTCAAAACTGACATGTGATGATCATGAGTACAAAGGTGACTGATAAAACTGACATGTGATGATCATGAGTACAAAGGTGACTGATAAAACTGACATGTGATGATCATGAGTACAAAGGTGACTGATAAAACTGACATGTGATGATCATGAGTACAAAGGTGACTGATAAAACTGACATGTGATGAGTCATGAGTAAAAGTTGTCACTGATGCTAAAACTGACATGTGATGATACCATGAGTACAAAGGTGGTCTGGTTAAAACTTACCATGTGATTTTCATGATTTATTTCGAGCGCTACTGTTATATACACTTTGTGTTTAGTATGTGATGATCACCTTTTTAGACAAAGGTGACTGGTATCAGTAACTTTTTGACATGTCATGGATCTATCAGTAACAAAGGTGACTGGTAAAACTGACAATGTGATGATCATGAGTACAAAGGTGACTTTTTTTGGTAAAACTGGACACTTGATGATCATGAGTACCCTTTAAGGTGACTGTGGTAAAACTGACGCTGTGTTAGTGACCATGAGTACAAAGGTGACTGGTAAAACTGACCCTTTAAGACATCTGTGGTTAGTACAAAGGTGACTGGTTAGTAAACCCTTGACGCTGTGGTTAGTACCACTACCCTTTAAGACACGCTGTGGTTAGTACCACTACCCTTAAGACATGCTGTGGTTAGTACCACTACCCTTTAAGACACCTTGTGGTTAGTAACACTGACCTTTGATGATCATGAGTACAACCCTTTGACATGCTGTGGTAAGTAAACCCTTTGACATGTGGTTGATCATACCCTTTACAAAGGTGACTGGTAAAACTGACATGTGATGATCATGAGTACAAAGGTGACTGTGGTTAACCAACTGACATGTGATTATCATGACCCTTTACAAAGGTGACTGGTAAACCCTGACATGTGATTACCATCATGAGTACAAAAGTCCTGACTGGTAAATCTGACATGTGGCATCTCCATGAGGAAGGAAGGCTGTAGTGGTAAAACTGACATGTGATGTTACATAGTAAGTACTTCCAAAGGTGAGCTGTTTGAAAACTGACATGTCATGATCATGTGGTATCAAAGGTCTAGAGACTGATATTAAAAAAGAGATTTGTAATATATTATGAAGTTCAAGTTGTTGGGCGATCATAAGACCACTCACCATACAGTGAGATTTGATGATCATGAGTACAAAGGTGACTGATAAAACTGACATTTGATGATCATGAGTACAAAGGTGACTGGTAAAACTGACATGTGATGATCATGAGTATGAAGGCAATGCCTAAGCCACAGATGCCGACTGTAATGTAGAGAGCTTTTGTCAGAACATGATGTGAATGAAATATAGGAATTCTAGATCAGAACAGAATTTGAATGAAATACAGGGATTATATATCAGAACAGGATTTGGAATGTAATACAGGGATTATATATCAAAACAGGATTTGGAATGGAGTGTAAGGATTATATATCAAAACAGGATTTGGAATGTAATGTATGTGTCATTTATGCAGTGAGTTGTAAGAACTGACATCACAGCCTGGGTATATTCCCATCAGTGCGTTGGCCCTACCCCCACCCCCCTGCCCCCATCTTCAGGAACCAGCGCAGAGTTCCAGTACTGATGGAGCCATCAGCGGTCTGACTGGCTTGCCTCTGTCTGATTTATTTAACATAGACAGTATAGCAGATGTCTTCTAACAGAATGTGACCGAAAATACCTTCCATTTGACAGTATCCAGGTGCAACAAGTGACCGGGCCAAACAGTACAAATAACCCTTTAAACCTGGGAGTGTGTGGTCTAACCACTGGTCTCTCAGCAATTTCGGCATCCAGCTCTACGCTGACTGGCACGCCACTAGTTCAAGACAAGGATGGTCAGTTTCTCTTTCATGTGATTTATTCATCACTCACCCTTGTGGTTAGTACCACTACCCTTGTCAGTGTTTTAATTTTGTTTCACACTGCCCAGATCAGACAGTTTGGTAATTACCAAATCTTTGGAGAATACAAGAAGTCCTGAATGTGGCACCTCTCACAGTGGTTTCTAGTCAGAAGGCTGGCTGTTGTGCTATGTTGCTGCTGGGAAGACAGGGGAATGTTCAGTCTTCCACATGCAGCTGGATGCTTGACCATACATGGCTGTGGGAATGCACCCTTGTGCTCTAGAGCTATGGCTTAAAAAGCTTTCATGGAAAAGAAGTGCGGAGAGAATTGGGCCCATAAGTCACCAGTGTACATGAGATTTGAAAGCATGTTTCAAACTTGACTCCATGAACTGCAAATTTGATGTCCATGATTTCAAACTGACTGATAAAACATGATTTCATGATCATGTCCATGATTTAAAACTTATGTTGATGATTTCATGACTTATGGTGACTGATTTCAAACATTTGATGTCCATGATTACAAACTTGTGTAAAATGACATTTCAAACTTGAGTCAAAGGTGACTTTAAAAAACATTTGATGTCCATGATTTCAAACTTACTGATAAAACTGATTTCAAACATGAGTCAAAGGTGACTGATAAAACTGACATTTGATGATCATGAGTACAAAGGTGACTGATAAAACTGCCATTTGATGATCATGAGTACAAAGGTGACTGATAAAACTGCCATTTGATGATCATGAGTACAAAGGTGACTGATAAAACTGCCATTTGATGATCATGAGTACAAAGGTGACTGATAAAACTGACATCAAACTGATCATGAGTATGAAGGCAAACTTGGGCCCAGATGCCGACTGTAATTTAGAGAGCTTTTGTCAGAACATGATGTGAATGAAATATAGGAATTCTAGATCAGAACAGGATTTGAATGAAATACAAGGATTATATATCAGAACAGGATTCGGAATGTAATGTAAGGATTATATATCAAAACAGGATTTGGAATGTAATGTAAGGATTATATATCAAAACAGGATTTGGAATGTAATGTAGGGATTATATATCAGAACAGGATTTGGAATGTAATGTATATGTCATTTAGGAGGTGAGTTGTAAGAACTGACATCACAGCCTGGGTATATTCCCATCAGTGCATTGCCTCCCCCACCCCCCTCCCCCAATCTTTAGGAACCAGCGCAGAGTTCCAGTTCTGATGGAGCCATCAGAGGTCTGACTGGCTTGCCTCTGAGGATTGTCCTGTCTGATTTATTTAACATAGACAATATAGCAGATGTCTTCTAATAGAATGTGACTCAAAAATACCTTCCATTTGACAGTATCCAGGTGCAACAAGTGGCCGGGCCAAACAGTCAAATAACCTTTAACCCTGGAGTGAGTGGTCTAACCTGGTCTCTCAGTAATTTCGGCATCCAGCTCTACGCTGACTGGCACGCCAAGTTCAAGCAAGGATGGTCAGTTTCTCATTGATTTATTCAGCATGGATATGTTTGTTGTCAGTGTTTTGATTTTGTCAGGATCAGATCAGTTTTATTTGAAATCTTTCAGTACTAGTGGCTGTTGGCACCTCTCCATGTTTCTAGTCAGTGCTCTTATGTTGTGCTAGGGAAGACAGGGGAATCTCAGACCAGAACTGGATGCAGACCATATATGGCTGTAGGTACACATGCCCATGCTCTGAGTGGAGCTTTCATGGAAAAGTATATGTGGAGAGAATTGAACCCAAAGTAGTGTACATGATTTAAAGCTTGTTTAAAACTTGTGTGGATGATTTCAAACTTATGTGCATGATTTCAAACTTATGTGCATGATTTGAAACTTGGGTCCATGATTTGAAACTTGTGTCCATGATTTGAAACTTGGGTCTATGATTTGAAACATTCTTGTCCCCAGGGTGAAGATCTCAGACCATGGCAGCCTCACGGTCAGTCTGGGCGCCGTCTCCTTGACACTGGCAGTGGCATTTGGTAGGTGACTCTGTTTCACATACAGACTGATTTTAATTTTATTTGGGTTGGGTGAACTTGACAAGTATCTTGAAAGCTTTAGTCATGTTCCACAACTTGCAATTGTGCATGCACAACCATTTTACAGACCTACTTATTAACTTATTCAGGCTCATGAATTTTGACAGACTTGGCCTACATTAATTTCCCTTTACAAAAATGGCAGAGGGGTGGGTGTACAAAAAAGGTAGTTGAGAATGTCATATACTTCTAATCCCAATAAAAGTATATATATATTTTTTAAAGGAAAATGAATACATTTGGAATCTGATGATAAGTATATATTTAATTTGTTTATAGTTTTCTTCTCTTACACCATAAATACGGTAGCAATGGGACATTGTCTGTGTAAAAAACTCATCAGAATTGCTAGATTCCGAACAGCTGATCCCTCAGCTCCGCTGGTAAAAATTCACCATCCAAATCACTTTCCGAAAAATCTAAATTTTCATTATTATTATCAGAATTAAAAACATATGACTGAAACAATTTCAGAGCTTCGGCCGCAGAAAGACGCATTCTGTGACCTGTACTTGTGGTTGGAACATTGGTATTCATGGCACTCAAAAACAAACTGAGAAAATGCACTGTTGAAACAAATATCTCTGTGAATCTGATCAAATTATGCACATGTGGTTTCTGATAGGGAGTGTAGCTGAAAGGATTTCGGCAGAGTGACATTAGAAACAAGTACGGAGCCGTATGCGAAGCAAAATGTACGGGATACACGATCGATGATGACAGCATTGTTTGGGCAAAACGGAACATCTCAATCAACGCTCACACCGTTGCTCGGGCTTTAAAGAGTTCATATGTAGATCGTTGACTCCTCATATCAGGTAGATGCACTCCAACTTCACCTGGGAAAAATCTCTAATTAGTTGCCTTTTATGACATGCTTGATAAGTAGTAGGTCTATTTTCCCTTACCGTGGCCCCAGAACTTTCCTCCCCGATGGGGAGGGGTTTGTTTCTCAAGTTTCCTGGTTACATTTCATGTTCTGCCACTGTTGCCATCTGCTTGATGGCAGAGGAAGAAGAAGATGTGCCCTGGCCAGCGGCGTAGACGCTCACGTCTCTCCACAGTTCTCGGTCCTCAGTATCTCCAGTCAGTTCCACTGGTGATATTCCTCATATGCCATTGCTGCAGGCAGACAAACGTTGTCTTTCTTGGTCTAACTTTGCCTCTTCTGCTGTTGATCTGTTCAGTCAGGTAATGCCTCTCTTCTCGTCATGTGATCAAAGAACACTGATTGCCTCTTTCTTACAGAAACATGACCACACACAATCGGAAGTCAGTCTTTAAGAGTTAATTTAAAAGACTAATTGTATTTTATGCTCGTCGTGGATTGGAAGGTCGTGGGTTCACTCACTGGCAGAGCCTGACTTTTAAAAAAAATGACCTTGGCTCCCAGGTCGACCCAGCCTTGAGTGGGTACAGGGTGCGGTCCCGGGAAAGTAAAGGCGGCAAGCGTGATGCTGACCACATCACCCATCTTGTGCCGATTGGTCTATAAAAAAAATAGGTCTAGCCCTATATGCCCTATACACCTAAAGACGTGGAAAAGGGTCCTTCACTTACTTACTTACTAATTGTATTTTATCTTTTAAAAGTTAATTTTTGTATCTGGTTTAATTTCTTTCAAGGTCAGAAAGATGGCCGTCCATCAATTTCCTCAAAGTCTTGCAATGCTCACATCGGTCACGTCGATGTCAAGTTCCACGGAGGTTCTGCCAAAATTTTGAATCTGTTCAGGGGTGTTGTAGAAAAGAGATTTAAAGATGTGCTTGAAAGCCGAGTAAGTTTATTAAGTCCATTTTAATGCTTGCTGTATGGAATTTGTTTACACTGATATTTGTCAGTTACAAGAGAAGTGAAAACCGGCTGCTGCAGCACTACATGTAAGTGTCTGCTTGATCTGATCACGTGATATGTACTGACCTCTGACAGGACAAGCATGTGCTTATCTCCCATGATGCTGGGGTTCTGTCTGTGATCCCTGAGAAAATAGCCGGTTTGATCCAGAATTCACTGAAGCACTCAGAGTGTCAACGTGGGCTTTCATTGGAGAATACAGTGTATAGTGAGACATCAGCTAGATGTAGCTGATTAATGCCAAGCTGTTATAGTAGAAGGGGAAAAGTTTAACTAGTTTTGCTGTTTCCAAAAAGACATTTAGTGAGACTCTGGTAACTTTCACCTGTTGTCTGGATTCTTTTTGTCCAGTATAGCATCTCTGAAAGGAGATTGGTGTAGATTCCTGTCTGTCACTAGTTGTGTACCTGTCTGTCACTAGTGTTCCTGACTGTCACTAGTTGTGTTCCTGTTTGTCACTAGTTGTGTTCCTGTTTGTCACTAGTTGTGTTCCTGTCTGTCACTAGTTGTGTTCCTGTCTGTCACTAGTTGTGTTCCTGTCTGTCACTAGTTGTGTTCCTGTCTGTCACTAGTTGTGTTCCTGTCTGTCACTAGTTGTGTTCCTGTCTGTCACTAGTTGTGTTCCTGTCTGTCACTAGTTGTGTTCCTGTCTGTCACTAGTTGTGTTCCTGTCTGTCACTAGTTGTGTTCCTGTCTGTCACTAGTTGTGTTCCTGTCTGTCACTAGTTATGTTCCTGTCTGTCTCTAGTTGTGTTCCTGTCTGTCTCTAGTTGTGTTCCTGTCTGTCACTAGTTGTGTTCCTGTCTGTCACTAGTTGTGTTCCTGTCTGTCACTAGTTGTGTTCCTGTCTGTCACTAGTTGTGTTCCTGTCTGTCACTAGTTGTGTTCCTGTCTGTCACTAGTTGTGTTCCTGTCTGTCACTAGTTGTGTTCCTGTCTGTCACTAGTTGTGTTCCTGTCTGTCACTAGTTGTGTTCCTGTCTGTCACTAGTTGTGCAGCTTGTGTTCCTGTCTGTCACTAGTTGTGCAGCTTGTGTTCCTGTCTGTCACTAGTTGTGTAGCTTGTGTTCCTGTCTGTCACTAGTTGTGTAGCTTGTGTTCCTGTCTGTCACTAGTTGTGTAGCTTGTGTTCCTGTCTGTCACTAGTTGTGTAGCTTATGTTCCTGTCTATCACTAGTTGTGCAGCTTGTGTTATTGTCTGTCACTAGTTGTGTAGTTTGTGTTCCTGTCTGTCACTAGTTGTGTAGTTTGTGTTCCTGTCTGTCACTAGTTGTGTTTCTGTCTGTCACTAGTTGTGTAGCTTGTGTTCCTGTCTGTCACTAGTTGTGCAGCTTGTGTTCCTGTCTGTCACTAGTTGTGTCCTGTCTTCTGTCTGTCTGTCTGTGTGTTCTGTGTCACTAGTTGTTGTGTTTCTGTCTGTCACTAGTTGTGTAGCTTGTGTTCCTGTCTATCACTAGCTGTGTAGCTTGTGTTCCTGTCTGTCACTAGTTGTGCAGCTTGTGTTCCTGTCTGTCACTAGTTGTGTAGCTTTAATCCTGTCTGTCACTAGTTGTGTTCCTGTCTGTCACTAGTTGTGCAGCTTGTGTTCCTGTCTGTCACTAGTTGTGCAGCTTGTGTTTCTGTCTGTCACTAGTTGTGTAGCTTTAATCCTGTCTGTCACTAGTTGTGTAGCTTTAATCCTGTCTGTCACTAGTTGTGTAGCTTGTGTTCCTGTCTGTCACTAGTTGTGTAGCTTGTGTTCCTGTCTGTCACTAGTTGTGTAGCTTGTGTTCTGTCTGTCACTAGTTGTGTAGCTTGTGTTCCTGTCTGTCACTAGTTGTGTAGCTTGTGTTCCTGTCTGTCACTAGTTGTGTAGCTTGTGTTCCTGTCTGTCACTAGTAGTGTAGCTTGTGTTCCTGTCTGTCACTAGTTGTGTAGCTTGTGTTCCTGTCTGTCACTAGTTGTGTCCTGTCTGCTTGTGTTCCTGTCTGTCACTAGTTGTGTAGCTTGTGTTCCTGTCTGTCACTAGTTGTGTAGCTTGTGTTCCTGTCTGTCACTAGTTGTGTAGCTTGTGTTCCTGTCTGTCACTAGTTGTGTAGCTTGTGTTCCTGTCTGTCACTAGTTGTGTTCCTGTCTGTCACTAGTTGTGTTCCTGTCTGTCACTAGTTGTGTTCCTGTCTGTCACTAGTTGTGTAGCTTGTGTTCCTGTCTGTCACTAGTTGTGTAGCTTGTGTTCCTGTCTGTCACTAGTTGTGTTTCTGTCTGTCACTAGTTGTGTAGCTTGTGTTCCTGTCTGTCACTAGTTGTGTAGCTTGTGTTCCTGTCTGTCACTAGTTGTGTAGCTTGTGTTCATGTCTGTCGCTAGTTGTGTAGATTGTGTTCCTGTCTGTCACTAGTTGTGTAGCTTGTGTTCCTGTCTGTCACTAGTTGTGTAGCTTGTGTTCCTGTCTGTCACTAGTTGTGTAGCTTGTGTTCCTGTCTGTCACTAGTTTGTGTCACTAGTTGTTTTCTGTCTGTCACTAGTTGTGTAGCTTGTGTTCCTGTCTGTCACTAGTTGTGTAGCTTGTGTTCCTGTCTGTCACTAGTTGTGTAGCTTGTGTTCCTGTCTGTCACTAGTTGTGCAGCTTGTGTTCCTGTCTGTCACTAGTTGTGTTCCTGTCTGTCACTAGTTGTGTAGCTTGTGTTCCTGTCTGTCACTAGTTGGTTGTGTAGCTTGTGTTCCTGTCTGTCTAGTTGTGTCTAGTTGTGTTCCTGTGTGCTTGTGTTCCTGTCTGTCACTAGTTGTGTAGCTTGTGTTCCTGTCTGTCACTAGTTGTGTAGCTTGTGTTCCTGTCTGTCACTAGTTGTGTAGCTTGTGTTCCTGTCTGTCACTAGTTGTGTTCCTGTCTGTCACTAGTTGTGTAGCTTGTGTTCCTGTCTGTCACTAGTTGTGTAGCTTGTGTTCCTGTCTGTCACTAGTTGTGTAGCTTGTGTTCCTGTCTGTCACTAGTTGTGTAGCTTGTGTTCCTGTCTGTCACTAGTTGTGTAGCTTGTGTTCCTGTCTGTCACTAGTTGTGTAGCTTGTGTTCCTGTCTGTCACTAGTTGTGTAGCTTGTGTTCCTGTCTGTCACTAGTCTGCTTGTGTTTCCTGTCTGTCACTAGTGTTGTAGCTTGTGTTCCTGTCTGTCACTAGTTGTGTAGCTTTGTGTCACTAGTTGTGTAGCTTGTGTTCCTGTCTGTCACTAGTTGTGTTTCTGTCTGTCTCTAGTTGTGTTCCTGTCTGTCACTAGTTGTGTTCCTGTCTGTCACTAGTTGTGTAGCTTGTGTTCCTGTCTGTCACTAGTTGTGTAGCTTGTGTTCCTGTCTGTCACTAGTTGTGTAGCTTGTGTTCCTGTCTGTCACTAGTTGTGTAGCTTGTGTTCCTGTCTGTCACTAGTTGTGTAGCTTGTGTTCCTGTCTGTCACTAGTTGTGTAGCTTGTGTTCCTGTCTGTCACTAGTTGTGTAGATTGTGTTCCTGTCTGTCACTAGTTGTGTAGGTTGTGCTTCTGTCTGTCACTAGTTGTGTTTCTGTCTGTCACTAGTTGTGTTCCTGTCTGTCACTAGTTGTGTAGCTTGTGTTCCTGTCTGTCACTAGTTGTGTAGCTTGTGTTCCTGTCTGTCACTAGTTGTGTAGCTTGTGTTTCTGTCTGTCACTAGTTCTGTTTCCTCTGTCTGTCACTAGTTGTGTAGCTTGTGTTCCTGTCTGTCACTAGTTGTGTAGCTTGTGTTCCTGTCTGTCACTAGTTGTGTAGCTTGTGTTCCTGTCTGTCACTAGTTGTGTAGCTTGTGTTCCTGTCTGTCACTAGTTGTGTTCCTGTCTGTCACTAGTTGTGTAGCTTGTGTTCCTGTCTGTCACTAGTTGTGTAGCTTGTGTTTCTGTCTGTCACTAGTTCTGTTTCTGTCTGTCACTAGTTGTGTTCCTGTCAGTCACTAGTTGTGTTCCTGTCTGTCACTAGTTGTGTAGCTTGTGTTCCTGTCTGTCATAGTTGTGTTCTTGTCTGTCACTAGTTGTGTTCCTGTCTGTCACTAGTTGTGTAGCTTGTATTCCTTTCTGTCACTAGTTGTGTAGCTTGTGTTCCTGTCTGTCACTAGTTGTGTTCCTGTCTGTCACTAGTTGTGTTCCTGTCTGTCACTAGTTGTGTTCCTGTCTGTCACTAGTTGTGTTCCTGTCTGTCACTAGTTGTGTTCCTGTCTGTCACTAGCTTGTGTTCCTGTCTGTCACTAGTTGTGTTCCTGTCTGTCACTAGTTGTGTTCCTGTCTGTCACTAGTTGTGTAGCTTGTGTTCCTGTCTGTCACTAGTTGTGTAGCTTGTGTTCCTGTCTGTCACTAGTTGTGTAGCTTGTGTTCCTGTCTGTCACTAGTTGTGTAGTTGTGTTCCTGTCTGTCACTAGTTGTGTAGCTTGTGTTCCTGTCTGTCACTAGTTGTGTAGCTTGTGTTCCTGTCTGTCACTAGTTGTGTAGCTTGTGTTCCTGTCTGTCACTAGTTGTGTTCCTGTCTGTCACTAGTTGTGTTCCTGTCTGTCACTAGTTGTGTAGCTTGTGTTCCTGTCTGTCACTAGTTGTGTAGCTTGTGTTCCTGTCTGTCACTAGTTGTGTAGGTTGTGTTCCTGTCTGTCACTAGTTGTGTAGCTTGTGTTCCTGTCTGTCACTAGTTGTGTAGCTTGTGTTTCTGTCTGTCACTAGTTGTGTAGCTTGTGTTCCTGTCTGTCACTAGTTGTGTAGCTTGTTGTTTCCTGTCTGTCACTAGTTGTGTAGCTTCTGTTAGCTTGTGTCTGTCTGTCTGTCACTAGTTGTGTTCCTGCTTGTGTTCCTGTCTGTCTGTCACTAGTTGTGCTAGCTAGCTTGTGTTCCTGTCTGTCACTAGTTGTGTAGCTTGTGTTCCTGTCTGTCACTAGTTGTGTTCCTGTCTGTCACTAGTTGTGTAGCTTGTGTTCCTGTCTGTCACTAGTTGTGTAGCTTGTGTTCCTGTCTGTCACTAGTTGTGTAGCTTGTGTTCCTGTCTGTCACTAGTTGTGTAGCTTGTGTTCCTGTCTGTCACTAGTTGTGTAGCTTGTGTTCCTGTCTGTCACTAGTTGTGTAGCTTGTGTTCCTGTCTGTCACTAGTTGTGTTCCTGTCTGTCACTAGTTGTGTTCCTGTCTGTCACTAGTTGTGTTCCTGTCTGTCACTAGTTGTGTTCCTGTCTGTCACTAGTTGTGTTCCTGTCTGTCACTAGTTGTGTTCCTGTCTGTCTCTAGTTGTGTTCCTGTCTGTCACTAGTTGTGTAGCTTGTGTTCCTGTCTGTCACTAGTTGTGTAGCTTGTGTTCCTGTCTGTCACTAGTTGTGTAGCTTGTGTTCCTGTCTATCACTAGTTGTGTAGCTTGTGTTTCTGTCTATCACTAGTTGTGTAGCTTGTGTTCCTGTCTGTCACTAGTTGTGTAGCTTGTGTTCCTGTCTGTCACTAGTTGTGTAGCTTGTGTTCCTGTCTATCACTAGTTGTGTAGCTTGTGTTCCTGTCTATCACTAGTTGTGTAGCTTGTGTTCCTGTCTGTCACTAGTTGTGTAGCTTGTGTTCCTGTCTGTCACTAGTTGTGTAGTTTGTGTTCCTGTCTGTCACTAGTTGTGTAGCTTGTGTTCCTGTCTGTCACTAGATGTGTAGTTTGTGTTCCTGTCTGTCACTAGATGTGTAGTTTGTGTTCCTGTCTATCACTAGTTGTGCAGCTTGTGTTCCTGTCTATCACTAGTTGTGTTCCTGTCTGTCACTAGTTGGTTGTGTAGCTTGTGTTCCTGTCTATCACTAGTTGTGTAGCTTGTGTTCCTGTCTTATTGCATTTCTGAAGTTTCAGTTTTACCATGTATCCTCAGATTTGTGCAATTGCCAACAAAAATATCAATGAGAATGCAGAAGAAGCTCTCTCAAGAATGAAAGGTGTGATTTTAAATATTTTTTTGATTTAATGACATTGCTGCAATTGTTTGGGGGGAAACTCTGATATCAAGTACTGCCAATAAGATGTGAAGTATTACTAGTGTCAACTGTTCTGAGATAAAGAGGATTTCTCTGTATTATACACATTATGAATGATCAAACAGGTGCTGAAATGGAAATAGATGGTGACACAGACCTCTGATCAAACAGGTGCTGAAATAGGAAAATAGATGGTGACACAGAGTCTGATCAAACAGGTGCTGAAATGGGAAATAGATGCTGAAAGGGAAAATAGGTGACCAAACAGGTGCTGAAATGGGAAATAGATGGTGACACAGACCTCTGATCAACTGTAATAGTACAAGTCGCAGAAACCCTGTTCAAGCATTAGGTTATATTAGTGCCCACAACCTACCTCCCACTACAACCAGGATGGGGCTTTAAAATAACCTAATTGTGCCCCAGATTAGGGCCTTTTTGCCTCCCTCATTGACGTTGGTAAGGAAATCTTGTGTTTAGAAATGTCATGTGTGTATTGAACAACCAGGATATTGACCCGAGGAATGATGCCCGCGGTGTCTCCTCCACTGGACCTCTTTTTGCTGTCCTGCTGTTGCCACTCGGTTAACCCACAAATTTAAGGGAACAAACTCTTACATTATTCACCTATTATGTTGGTTGTTTTCCTTTGACCATTTAAATGAATCAGGTTTTATTTTTTCAAATGTTCTGTATGTTATCAGTTCTCACAATTAACCTCGCTGCACATTGGACACCTTCATGGCTGCTCAGTCCTCCAGTGCAGCAGCTTTCTAAGTTACATCTAGTGATTATTTCTATGAGATGTTAATTATGTCTCCTGTCTTGACTTAAATGTTTATATATATGTTAAAGTAGTAGATTTGTATCCCACCAGGACATCACGCAAGCGATAAACACCCGATGACACAAACTGCCACCATGTGGACGAGGATCACCCGTGGAGAGGTCCCAGAAACCGTGTTCAGATAGTAGACCATATCTATGGTTGGGCTATATTGCGGCGCCTGGCAAGAGCCAGAGTCGGGCTTCAAAAAAAAGAAAAATTGCATCTCACAAAAGAATGACTGGTTGATCAGTGTTTAATGTTGAAGTAAGCATTGGCCTATCCTCTACGTCCTTCTTAGGACGTAATTTTTTGTTTTTTGAAGCCCCACTCTGGCTTTTGCCAGGGGCCGCAATATAAGCAGGCCATCAATATGGCCAATTGTCTGAACGCGGTTTCTGGGACCTCTCATCCGCATGGTGGCACTTTGTGTCATCGGGTGTTTATCGCTTGTGTGATGTCCTGGTGGGGTAGAAAGTCAGTCAGTCAGTCATTGGCCTAGGAAGTTTGACAAGTGAACGACATAAACAGATAGCTGTTTGTTAATGTGTATATTTACATACAAATTAGGGCAAAAACTAAGAACTTTGTGCGTTTTTTTTTTTTTCAGTGTATTTGTTGTAAATTAATTTTATTCTGCTATGTCACTTTTGGAGTTGGGGGAAAGGAATAATTAAGGTAAAAAACTCTAATGTTACTAATATATTAACTGGGTTGTTTCCCTTTGACCATTTGGGGAAAGAAGAAACGACCCGCTGCCGACCTAGCCAGCATTTGTGAAAGCTGATTGATTAGGGAACGTTGCCTTGGAAGTTGGAGTCAAGCTGCTGGAGAGTGGTGAAGATCCAGCAGTTCTGGAACAGAGCCCAAGTCTAGGAGACGGACCACCAGAACTTTCCACGGTAGTCTACAGCCGGTGAAGGATGAGAAGATCTGCAGCTTAAAGTGAGGAATCATTGGCTTTTAAACAGTGGTATGAGAGTCTCACTGTGGAAGAAATTAGGGTGTATGGCCTGCACACAATCGGGGTGTCTCTTGTATATCCCAGGATCGGCCGCATACGTTCATTCTGTAATCGCTGCAGTTTCTCTAGCTGACTCTTTGAGACAGTGAGTAACCCCGATCCATAATCAGTCACTGAGATGATCAAGTGCTAGTTGGGCAGACTAGGGAAATTATTTGTGATTGCCTTTTGTGACGTGACGAGGGTATAGAATATAATTGAATGGCAAACCTTCATAAGCCAGCAGTGAATACCTGATATAACAAGTGGTGTGGAACTGGGTGGTTTATTGTATGTGAGGGATAGATTGTTGCCTCTGATCCATGAGTTAAACATTGACCATGTCTTGTCCTCTGATCCATGAGTTAAACATTGACCATGTCTTGTCCTCTGATCCATGAGTTAAACATTGACCATGTCTTGTCCTCTGATCCATGAGTTAAACATTGACCAATCCATGAGTTAAACATTGACCATGTCTTGTCCTCTGATCCATGAGTTAAACATTGACCATGTCTTGTCCTCTGATCCATGAGTTAAACATTGACCATGTCTTGTCCTCTGATCCATGAGTTAAACATTGACCATGTCTTGTCCTCTGATCCATGAGTTAAACATTGACCATGTCTTGTCCTCTGATCCATGAGTTAAACATTGACCATGTCTTGTCCTCTGATCCATGAGTTAAACATTGACCATGTCTTGTCCTCTGATCCATGAGTTAAACATTGACCATGTCTTGTCCTCTGATCCATGAGTTGAACATTGACCATGTCTTGTCCTCTTATCCATGAGTTAAACATTGACCAATCCATGAGTTAAACATTGACCAATCCATGAGTTAAACATTGACCAATCCATGAGTTAAACATTGACCACGTCTTGTCCTCTGTTTCAGTTAACGTAACCATTGACCACCGTTTTCTCTTGGACTACAGCCTGGTGGCGCCTCCTGTTGTCTCCAGCAACTTCCTGCAGACACCACACAAGGTCAGTCTCTTTTTTAAATGTTCACCCTTGAAAGGGCAGTTTGCTTGTTGTGTGGTGGTTTACAGCTAGGCTGTGGTATGTGTGCCTTTTGACGCAACACATCTGATTTCACACATGACTAAATCAGTCACTTTTTACAACATGTTTGCTATGGAGCGCTGGGTTTATTATTAATTGTTTTTTTATATTCCAATTGAATCCACGGAAGCCGCACGTGGCAGGTAACAATCAGTATTTGACAGTGCACCCATTTCACTACTGTAGCTGGGAAAAGATGCACTGGCCTTGTAAGAAGCAAGTTGTTTCATCAAAGACAAACTGCATGTCTGGTGGCGACTGTTGGCTTTGGAGTGCTATGAAGATAATCCAACTCATAACTCAGTTAAAGGGCTACTGTTAAATGTATTCGAGAAAAAGCTTTGAAAAGAAAATCATCCATGGCATAATCCTGTATTTGGAAATGCCATGTATCATTCCAGAAATAAGCAATAAATGTATGATGGGCTCCATATTCTGTAGCTAATTATAAACTTGAGGAAAGAAGAGCTCAGCTAAAACTGGTTAACATTATGTATTCTTTTGCAAACAGGGAGAGTTCTACTGGCAGTCCGACAAGCAAGAATGTCCGTTTGCACCTGGTGCAATTCCTGAATGGGGTGATGTCAGTAGTATGCTCTACCTGTGGCTGACTGAGTACACGGCCAACACATTTGCATATCAGGCACATCATCATGGTTACCTCCAGTACACCTTGACCAAAGATAAGGTCAGTTTTTGAGGCCAGATTGTCTGGTCTCTTGTTGTTTGTTATCTAGTCTCCGGAGAAATTACATCTCTGTTCCGAAACCTTTCTTACTGTCAGTAGGGGAGGAGGGGCAGGGCTGGATTAACGATTAAGTTCTCGCTTAGAGCATCACAAAGGTACGAGGCACCACATAAACGTTTCAATCACACCAAAACAGAATGACAAGGCAGGCTGGCTGGATGCCTTATCTTTGTTAATGATAGAAGCAGATGTGTTAGATCAGGTTAGTTTCAGTGCGGATCTAGGAATCTGTTGAGTGCTTGGGACATCAGAGTGGTGCGGCACTTGGGACATCAGAGGGGTGCGGCACTTGGGACATCAGAGGGTGCGGCACTTGGGACATCAGAGGGGTGCGGTACTTGGGACATCAGAGGGTGCGGCACTTGGGACATCAGAGGGTGCGGCACTTGGGACATCAGAGGGTGCGGCACTTGGGACATCAGAGGGTGCGGCACTTGGGACATCAGAAGGTGTGGTACTTGGGACATCAGATGGTGCGGCACTTGGGACATCAGAGGGTGCAGCACTTGGGACATCAGAGGGGTGCAGCACTTGGGACATCAGAGGGTGTGGCACTTGGGACATCAGAGGGGTGGGGCACTTGGGACATCAGAGGATGCGGCACTTGGGACATCAGAGGGTGCGGCACTTGGGACATCAGAGGGTGCAGCACTTGGGACACCAGAGGGGTGGGGCACTTGGGACATCAGAGGGTGCAGCACTTGGGACATCAGAGGGGTGCGGCACTTGGGACATCAGAGGGGTGCGGCACTTGGGGAAGGGGCTGGGAAGAATGAAGCTTGTTTTCCAAAGCCAGATGTATCACTTTAGTTGGGACCAAGACCAGATCTATCAACTTGCTTAACTCCAAGACCAGATCTATCAACTTGCTTAACTCCAAGACCAGATCTATCAACTTGCTTAGCTCCAAGACGAGATCTATCAACTTGCTTAACTCCAAGAGGAGATCTATCAACTTGCTTAACTCCAAGACGAGATCTGTTTATCTAATGTTATCTGGAAGTTGTATATCCATCATTGTCTTGCTTTCTTCCTGGCTGTAAATTGGTTTGTTGTTATCAAATGCTCTCACCAGAAGCTGATTAGGTTCCATCCAAGTGTCCCACATCATTATATTTGTTGCCTCCCACATCATTATAGTTGTTGCCTCCCACATCATTATAGTTGTTGTCTCCTGGTGATGCAAGTGTCCCACATCATTATAGTTGTTGCCTCCTGGTGAACCAAGTGTCCCACATCATTATAGTTGTTGCCTCCTGGTGAACCAAGTGTCCCACATCATTATAGTTGTTGCCTCCTGGTGAACCAAGTGTCCCACATCATTATAGTTGTTGCCTCCTGGTGAACCAAGTGTCCCACATCATTATAGTTGTTGCCTCCTAGTGAACCAAGTGTCCCACATTATGTCTGCAGCTTCTAACACTTGTAATGTGAACCATGTTTGTTTGGTGCAGCCTGTGAAACCTTATACAGAAGTAGCAGCAGGATGAGGTGGTGAAGCAGGGGCAGATTAGGATGACAAATATAACTGAGAAGCAGCAGCAGCACGAAGATACTGCTTGTAGTAGCAGCAGCAGCTTTGGTAATGGGAGGAGGAGGAGAAGAAAAGATGATGAGAAAGTGAAAGATGATGATGATGGTGACGTTTCTAGTATTGTTAATTCTGAACTGATTATGTTAATTATGTGAAATGTAATTACTCTGGTCTAAAAGTGTTGTTTTATTGCACCTAACAGTTGCCGGCAGACAAGGCAGACTATCTGAACACAACCTGCCACTCCATGTGTATCGGCAAAATCATTAAAGAGGTCAGTGTTCCAACTATTGTGTGTGTGTGTGTAGGTCAGTGTTCCAACTATTGTGTGTGTGTGTGTAGGTCAGTGTTCCAACTATTGTGTGTGTGTGTGTAGGTCAGTGTTCCAACTATTGTGTGTGTGTGTGTAGGTCAGTGTTCCAACTATTGTGTGTGTGTGTGTAGGTCAGTGTTCCAACTATTGTGTGTGTGTGTGTAGGTCAGTGTTCCAACTATTGTGTGTGTGTGTAGGTCAGTGTTCCAACTATTGTGTGTGTGTGTGTGTAGGTCAGTGTTCCAACTATTGTATGTGTGTGTGTGTAGGTCAGTGTTCCAACTATTGTGTGTGTGTGTGTGTGTAGGTCAGTGTTCCAACTATTGTGCGTGTGTGTGTGTAGGTCAGTGTTCCAACTATTGTGTGTGTGTGTGTGTAGGTCAGTGTTCCAACTATTGTGTGTGTGTGTAGGTCAGTGTTCCAACTATTGTGTGTGTGTGTAGGTCAGTGTTCCAACTATTGTGTGTGTGTGTGTGTAGGTCAGTGTTCCAACTATTGTGTGTGTGTGTGTAGGTCAGTGTTCCAACTATTGTGTGTGTGTGTTGTTCAGTGTTCCAACTATTGTGTGTGTGTGTAGGTCAGTGTTCCAACTATTGTGTGTGTGTGTGTAGGTCAGTGTTCCAACTATTGTGTGTGTGTGTGTAGGTCAGTGTTCCAACTATTGTGTGTGTGTGTGTAGGTCAGTGTTCCAACTATTGTGTGTGTGTGTGTAGGTCAGTGTTCCAACTATTGTGTGTGTGTGTGTAGGTCAGTGTTCCAACTATTGTGTGTGTGTGTGTGTAGGTCAGTGTTCCAAATATTGTGTGTGTGTGTGTGTAGGTCAGTGTTCCAACTATTGTGTGTGTGTGTGTGTGTAGGTCAGTGTTCCAACTATTGTGTGTGTGTGTAGGTCAGTGTTCCAACTATTGTGTGTGTGTGTAGGTCAGTGTTCCAACTATTGTGTGTGTGTGTGTGTAGGTCAGTGTTCCAACTATTGTGTGTGTGTGTGTAGGTCAGTGTTCCAACTATTGTGTGTGTGTGTAGGTCAGTGTTCCAACTATTGTGTGTGTGTGTGTGTAGGTCAGTGTTCCAACTATTGTGTGTGTGTATGTGTAGGTCAGTGTTCCAACTATTGTGTGTGTGTGTGTAGGTCAGTGTTCCAAATATTGTGTGTGTGTGTGTGTGTGTAGGTCAGTGTTCCAACTATTGTGTGTGTGTGTGTGTAGGTCAGTGTTCCAACTATTGTGTGTGTGTGTGTGTAGGTCAGTGTTCCAACTATTGTGTGTGTGTGTGTAGGTCAGTGTTCCAACTATTGTGTGTGTGTGTGTGTAGGTCAGTGTTCCAACTATTGTGTGTGTGTGTGTGTAGGTCAGTGTTCCAACTATTGTGTGTGTGTGTGTGTAGGTCAGTGTTCCAACTATTGTGTGTGTGTGTAGGTCAGTGTTCCAACTATTGTGTGTGTGTGTAGGTCAGTGTTCCAACTATTGTGTGTGTGTGTGTGTGTAGGTCAGTGTTCCAACTATTGTGTGTGTGTGTAGGTCAGTTACTTGAATGCAGTAATTGTTTTGTGGTACAGATACCTAGTCCAGACTGGTTAGATGTTCAGTGTTGGGCTTTCATTAACCAGAGGGTTCTCTTTCCTGGTATCTCTTGACAACAAACTGTCTGCTTCCTGTATTTACTTTATATTTAGATGAACCTGGCAGTCGAAATTTCAATTGTCCCCCTCCTGGGTTCTAATCATGTTGTTTACTGCTCCTTACATTTGGTGTTGTTTACTGCTCCTTACATTCGGTGTTGTTTACTGCTCCTTACATTCGGTGTTGTTTACTGCTCCTTAGATTCAGTGTTGTTTACTGCTCCTTACATTCAGTGTTGTTTACTGCTCCTTACATTCAGTGTTGTTTACTGCTCCTTACATCCAGTGTTGTTTACTGCTCCTTACATTCGGTGTTGTTTACTGCTCCTTACATTCAGTGTTGTTTACTGCTCCTTATATTCAGTGTTGTTTACTGCTCCTTACATTCAGTGTTGTTTACTGCTCCTTACATTCAGTGTTGTTTACTCCTCCTTACATTCAGTGTTGTTTACTGCTCCTTACATTCAGTGTTGTTTACTGCTCCTTACATTCGGTGTTGTTTACTGCTCCTTACATTCAGTGTTGTTTACTGCTCCTTACATTCGGTGTTGTTTACTGCTCCTTACATTCAGTGTTGTTTACTGCTCCTTACATTCAGTGTTGTTTACTGCTCCTTACATTCGGTGTTGTTTACTGCTCCTTACATTCAGTGTTGTTTACTGCTCCTTACATTCGGTGTTGTTTACTGCTCCTTACATTCAGTGTTGTTTACTGCTCCTTACATTCAGTGTTGTTTACTGCTCCTTACATTCGGTGTTGTTTACTGCTCCTTACATTCAGTGTTGTTTACTGCTCCTTACATTCGGTGTTGTTTACTCCTCCTTACATTCGGTGTTGTTTACTGCTTCTTACATTCGATGTTGTTTACTGCTCCTTACATTCGGTGTTGTTTACTGCTCCTTACATTCAGTGTTGTTTACTGCTCCTTACATTCGGTGTTGTTTACTCCTCCTTACATTCGATGTTGTTTACTGCTCCTTACATTCGGTGTTGTTTACTGCTCCTTACATTCGGTGTTGTTTACTGCTCCTTACATTCAGTGTTGTTTACTGCTCCTTACATTCGATGTTGTTTACTGCTCCTTACATTCGGTGTTGTTTACTGCTCCTTACATTCAGTGTTGTTTACTGCTCCTTACATTCGATGTTGTTTACTGCTCCTTACATTCGGTGTTGTTTACTGCTCCTTACATTCAGTGTTGTTTACTGCTCCTTACATTCAGTGTTGTTTACTGCTCCTTACATTCGGTGTTGTTTACTCCTCCTTACATTTGGTGTTGTTTACTGCTCCTTACATTCGATGTTGTTTACTGCTCCTTACATTCGGTGTTGTTTACTGCTCTTTACATTCAGTGTTTTTTACTGCTCCTTACATTCAGTGTTGTTTACTGCTCCTTACATTCGATGTTGTTTACTGCTCCTTACATTCGGTGTTGTTTACTGCTCCTTACATTCAGTGTTGTTTACTGCTCCTTACATTCGATGTTGTTTACTGCTCCTTACATTCGGTGTTGTTTACTGCTCCTTACATTCAGTGTTGTTTACTGCTCCTTACATTCAGTGTTGTTTACTGCTCCTTACATTCGGTGTTGTTTACTGCTCCTTACATTCGGTGTTGTTTACTGCTCCTTACATTCGGTGTTGTTTACTGCTCCTTACATTCGGTGTTGTTTACTGCTCCTTACATTCGGTGTTGTTTACTCCTCCTTACATTCGGTGTTGTTTACTGCTCCTTACATTCGGTGTTGTTTACTCCTCCTTACATTCAGTGTTGTTTACTGCTCCTTACATTCGGTGTTGTTTACTCCTCCTTACATTCGGTGTTGTTTACTGCTCCTTACATTCGGTGTTGTTTACTGCTCCTTACATTCAGTGTTGTTTACTGCTCCTTACATTCAGTGTTGTTTACTGCTCCTTACATTCAGTGTTGTTTACTGCTCCTTACATTCAGTGTTGTTTACTGCTCCTTACATTCAGTGTTGTTTACTGCTCCTTACATTCAGTGTTGTTTACTGCTCCTTACATTCGGTGTTGTTTACTGCTCTTTACATTCAGTGTTGTTTACTCCTCCTTACATTCGGTGTTGTTTACTCCTCCTTACATTCGGTGTTGTTTACTGCTCCTTACATTCGGTGTTGTTTACTGCTCCTTACATTCGGTGTTGTTTACTGCTCCTTACATTCGGTGTTGTTTACTGCTCCTTACATTCGGTGTTGTTTACTCCTCCTTACATTTGGTGTTGTTTACTCCTCCTTACATTCAGTGAAAAGTTGGTTGTGTTTTCTTTACAGGACATTGCAGAACCAACACCAGCATTGTTTTTGACTGTTGTGGTTTTTCTAGGCAATTTTATGGTCAGTAGTTTGCCATTGCTGTCTGAATAGTTGCTCTTAATACCACTGTTGAAACCAATGCAAGGTGGTCTACTGTCAGATCGCCTGCAGTTGAGATTGAACTTGGCAATACGAAGCACGTTCACAGGATCTAAGCCACAGCTGCCAACTTAAAGCTGGACAAGGTTAATGAGTCCTTGTTGTTGTGGTGATCTTCTCTTTAATGTGCAGCTCGTTTGGCATTATTGGCATCACTCCTGTCCAGTGCTGGGCCAGTCAAGTTAACCACCTTGTCTGTCAGATGGGTAATCAGCACTTTCATTGCGTTGAACACCTGCATGGCTTGGCACAAAGACAAAGGTTAGGCGAGTTATTTGTGATGCATTTAATGACAGAATCTGTTTGTCTGATGAAGCTGGCTTGGATGGTAAAAACAGATGTTTAAAGACAAGAAGATTGACTTCATTGTACTAGGTTTTATCTCCTTTGGCTCAGTCTCTCTCTGCAGTGTAAATATGGGCCTATCATCAAGAGTGTCTCTACAGTGTACATATGTGCCTATCAAGAGTGTCTCTACAGTGTGAATATGTGCCTATCATCAAGAGTGTCTCTACAGTGTGAATATGTGCCTATCATCAAGAGTGTCTCTACAGTGTGAATATGTGCCTATCATCAAGAGTGTCTCTACAGTGTGAATATGTGCCTATCAAGAGTGTCTCTACAGTGTGAATATGTGCCTATCATCAAGAGTGTCTCTACAGTGTAAATATGTGCCTATCAAGAGTGACTCTACAGTGTAAATATGTGCCTATCAAGAGTGTCTCTACAGTGTAAATATGTGCCTATCAAGAGTGTCTCTACAGTGTAAATATGTGCCTATCAAGAGTGTCTCTACAGTGTGAATATGTGCCTATCATCAAGAGTGTCTCTACAGTGTAAATATGTGCCTATCAAGAGTGTCTCTACAGTGTAAATATGTGCCTATCAAGAGTGTCTCTACAGTGTAAATATGTGCCTATCAAGAGTGTCTCTACAGTGTAAATATGTGCCTATCAAGAGCGTCTCTACAGTGTAAATATGTGCCTATCAAGAGTGTCTCTACAGTGTAAATATGTGCCTATCAAGAGTGTCTCTACAGTGTAAATATGTGCCTATCAAGAGTGTCTCTACAGTGTAAATATGTGCCTATCAAGAGTGTCTCTACAGTGTAAATATGTGCCTATCAAGAGTGTCTCTACAGTGTGAATATGTGCCTATCAAGAGTGTCTCTACAGTGTGACTATGTGCCTATCAAGAGTGTCTCTACAGTGTAAATATGTGCCTATCAAGAGTGTCTCTACAGTGTGAATATGTGCCTATCATCAAGAGTGTCTCTACAGTGTGAATATGTGCCTATCATCAAGAGTGTCTCTACAGTGTGAATATGTGCCTATCAAGAGTGTCTCTACAGTGTGAATATGTGCCTATCATCAAGAGTGTCTCTACAGTGTGAATATGTGCCTATCAAGAGTGTCTCTACAGTGTGAATATGTGCCTATCATCAAGAGTGTCTCTACAGTGTGAATATGTGCCTATCATCAAGAGTCTCTACAGTGTGAATATGTGCCTATCAAGAGTGTCTCTACAGTGTGACTATGTGCCTATCAAGAGTGTCTCTACAATGTGAATATGTGCCTATCATCAAGAGTGTCTCTACAATGTGAATATGTGCCTATCATCAAGAGTGTCTCTACAATGTGAATATGTGCCTATCATCAAGAGTGTCTCTACAGTGTAAATATGTGCCTATCAAGAGTGTCTCTACAGTGTAAATATGTGCCTATCAAGAGTGTCTCTACAGTGTGACTATGTGCCTATCAAGAGTGTCTCTACAATGTGAATATGTGCCTATCATCAAGAGTGTCTCTACAATGTGAATATGTGCCTATCATCAAGAGTGTCTCTACAATGTGAATATGTGCCTATCATCAAGAGTGTCTCTACAGTGTAAATATGTGCCTATCAAGAGTGTCTCTACAGTGTAAATATGTGCCTATCAAGAGTGTCTCTACAGTGTGGATATGTGCCTATCAAGAGTGTCTCTACAGTGTGAATATGTGACTATCAAGAGTGTCTCTACAGTGTGAATATGTGCCTATCAAGAGTGTCTCTACAGTGTAAATATGTGCCTATCATCAAGAGTGTCTCTACAGTGTGAATATGTGCCTATCATCAAGAGTGTCTCTACAGTATAAATATGTGCCTATCAAGAGTGTCTCTACAGTGTAAATATGTGCCTATCATCAAGAGTGTCTCTACAATGTGAATATGTGCCTATCATCAAGAGTGTCTCTACAATGTGAATATGTGCCTATCATCAAGAGTGTCTCTACAGTGTAAATATGTGCCTATCAAGAGTGTCTCTACAGTGTAAATATGTGCCTATCAAGAGTGTCTCTACAGTGTGGATATGTGCCTATCAAGAGTGTCTCTACAGTGTGAATATGTGACTATCAAGAGTGTCTCTACAGTGTGAATATGTGCCTATCAAGAGTGTCTCTACAGTGTGGATATGTGCCTATCAAGAGTGTCTCTACAGTGTGGATATGTGCCTATCAAGAGTGTCTCTACAGTGTGGATACATGTGCCTATCAAGAGTGTCTCTACAGTGTGAATATGTGCCTATCAAGAGTGTCTCTACAGTGTGGATATGTGCCTATCAAGAGTGTCTCTACAATGTGAATATGTGCCTATCAAGAGTGTCTCTACAGTGTGAATATGTGCCTATCAAGAGTGTCTCTACAGTGTGAATATGTGACTATCAAGAGTGTCTCTACAGTGTGGATACATGTGCCTATCAAGAGTGTCTCTACAGTGTGAATATATACCTATCAAGAGTGTCTCTACAGTGTGGATACATGTGCCTATCAAGAGTGTCTCTACAGTGTGGATATATGTGCCTATCAAGAGTGTCTCTACAGTGTGAATATGTGCCTATCAAGAGTGTCTCTACAGTGTGGATATGTGCCTATCAAGAGTGTCTCTACAGTGTGAATATGTGCCTATCAAGAGTGTCTCTACAGTGTGGATATGTGTGCCTATCAAGAGTGTCTCTACAGTGTGGATATGTGTGCCTATCAAGAGTGTCTCTACAGTGTGGATATGTGTGCCTATCAAGAGTATCTCTACAGTGTGGATATGTGTGCCTATCAAGAGTGTCTCTATAGTGTGGATATGTGTGCCTATCAAGAGTGTCTCTACAGTGTGAATATATGTGCCTATCAAGAGTGTCTCTACAGTGTGGATATATGTGCCTATCAAGAGTGTCTCTACAGTGTAAATATGTGCCTATCAAGAGTGTCTCTACAGTGTGAATATGTGCCTATCAAGAGTGTCTCTACAGTGTAAATATGTGCCTATCAAGAGTGTCTCTACAGTGTGGATATATGTGCCTATCAAGAGTGTCTCTACATATAAATATGTGCCTATCAAGAGTGTCTCTACAGTGTAAATATGTGCCTACCAAGAGTGTCTCTACAGTGTAAATATGTGCCTATCAAGAGTGTCTCTACAGTGTGGATATATGTGCCTATCAAGAGTGTCTCTACAGTGTGAATATGTGCCTATCAAGAGTGTCTCTACAGTGTGAATATGTGCCTATCAAGAGTGTCTCTACAGTGTGGATATGTGTGCCTATCAAGAGTGTCTCTACGGGTGTTAACATTAAAGCACGAGGGAAAGCCAAAAGAAAGAGTGGGGGAAATGTATTTAAGATAACATGACTAGTGCAGTCGCAAAAAACTGCAGGTTAGAATCGTTATTATTGTCCCCAACAGAAACAAATATTCATTCCTTACCAAGAATTGAACCCAGGTCTCCCGCACAAGAGGCCAGTGCTGTAACAACTCAGCCAACAGCTGTCTTGCCTGAATGGCTGATGACAGAAGTGATGGCACATGGACACCATACTGGTGTTTTTAGGTCTTTCCTTATTTGGTGGAATCCCTGCTTTATTTCAATTATTCACCCCAAAAGGCTAACACCTGATCCACATATTTTCATTAGGCACTAGTTAAAATAAAGTAAAGTTGATATGATCAGCTACGTTAGCCTAGTGTCTAGATCATCACCTGTTGCAGGTATAGACTCATATTTATACAGACTGCTGGACACTCAGTGGGTGTATGTAGTCAACTTATACAGACTGCTGGACACTCAGTGGGTGAATGTAGTCAACTTATACAGACTGCTGGACACTCAGTGGGTGAATGTAGTCAACTTATACAGACTGCTGGACACTCAGTGGGTGAATGTAGTCAACTTATGCAGACTGCTGGACACTCAGTGGGTGATGTAGTCAACTTATACAGACTGCTGGACACTCAGTGGGTGAATGTAGTCAACTTATACAGACTGCTGGACACTCAGTGGGTGATGTAGTCAACTTATACAGACTGCTGGACACTCAGTGGGTGAATGTAGTCAACATCACACCAGCCACCTTTACTTCCTGTGTCATTTCCTGGCACCCATTTTAGCTTTGGTCAGCCTAAGAGCCAATATCAGTGATTTCCAAATTCACCCAAAGCTGATTCAACCCAAGGATCTTCATGTCGGTAGGTGAGCGTCTAGCTATTATACTCTCATATGAGATGTAAAGGGTGGTGACATATTGTTTCAGATATCTCAGGCTTACCCAAATTCTTGGGTAGAGCTGAGGGTCAACTCATCGGCTGTGCCAGTTGTTACAATTACCAGCCAGAATCTAACAGCAAGCACCTGGGCAGACGTGCAACTGTTTGCTCACACGCCAGATGGGAATACTCATTATCTTCTCACACTGGGTGTGGTAAGTTTCTGATCATTGTTGTCAGTGTGTTTTTGTATGTTTATCGCCATCAGTACCACCACCACCATCACTACCACCACCATCACCACTACCACCATCAACACTACCACCACCATCATCATCACTACTACCACAACCACCATTAACACTTTCTAATGTGTGTACCCTGGCCACTTTTCAGTTGAAAACAACAAAAGCGGCTCAGATCAACAACCTCAGCCTTAAAAGGTTAATAGAAAATGTCAAGAATAATAGAGAATGTCCCAGATAGTAAAAATTGTCCCAGATAGTAAAAATTGTCCCAGATAGTAAAAATTGTCCCAGATTAGTAAAAATTGTCCCAGATAGTAGAAATGGTCCTGGGTATTCAAGGTGATCTGGGTGATGCTGACATGCACTCTCCGCTGATCCATACTAATGTAGCACCATATGTCTGATGTGCTAATGTCATGACAACTGTTCATTATTGTTTGTTCGACTTTGGTTAAAATGGCCAGTCTCATTTGGACTTGTGTTGAACAATCTGTTCCTTGTGATTATTGAGCTAAAGTTGTCTAAGTTTGTGGCATCTTCATTTCTCGCAAAGTGGTGGGGAGTCAACAACTTCTTTTCTTTATCCTATATTTTAATATTTCACTGACTTACTCATTTAATTATCCTGCGTTGTAATATTTGATTGATGTGTTAAGATCTTTATCCTGTATTGTAATATTTATCTGGTATCTTGATTTTCTATTTTCTATTTCGATGACATTTTTATTTCATCCTATATTTTAATATTTGTTTGACATGTCGATTTCTTTGTGCATATTATCTTTGTATTTTGCTGTTTGTACACTGTATATGTGCTATCAATTGTTGGTTTGTTTTGTTTTGTGCAGAGTTTGTCGCTGACTGGCCAAGCTTCCATCGAGAGAGAGAAACTGATTGCGACTATTGTAGGTCACAGGTACTGTATCATAGATCAGTAGATCTCATTTGTTGTAGGTCACAGGTACTGTATTGTAGATCAGTAGATGTCATTTGTTGTAGGTCACAGGTACTGTATCATAGATCAGTAGATGTCATTTGTTGTAGGTCACAGGTACTGTATCGTAGATCAGTAGATCTCATTTGTTGTAGGTCACAGGTACTGTATCGTAGATCAGTAGATCTCATTTGTTGTAGGTCACAGGTACTGTATCGTAGATCAGTAGATGTCATTTGTTGTAGGTCACAGGTACTGTATCATAGATCAGTAGATCTCATTTGTTGTAGGTCACAGGTACTGTATCGTAGATCAGTAGATGTCATTTGTTGTAGGTCACAGGTACTGTATCGTAGATCAGTAGATGTCGCTTGTTGCAATATAGAGCCATATTGAAATAAAGTGCAATGTTTAAATGCACAACTGATGTGGTGTAGTGGTTATCTCATAGCCTACCAAGACAGAGGTATGGTTTCAATTCTCCTGAGACAGGATTATATCTCCAGTTGTTCTGTCTCTGTTGTACACACATCATCAGAATTATTGTTCAGATATTTTAGAAAGGCATGGTGACAAGGAAGGGTACTAGGCACCCCAGCTCATTATGTCAGAGACTAGAAAATTAGGGTACAATAGTTTTAACTTACCCCATGACGTCACGGAGACATTTATATAATTTCCTGGGTGTTGAGGTTGGGGTTTTCCCCATTTCTAAAGCACATCTGATGATGTGTATTTACCCAGCGTCTTCTTCTTTGTCGTGTCTGGTTGCAGCGGTCTTCATCTTTGTCATGTCTGGTTGCAGCGATCTTCATCTTTGTCATGTCTGGTTGCAGCAGTCTTCATCTTTATCGTGTCTGTTTGCAGCAGTCTCCATCTTTGTCGTGTCTGGTTGCAGCAGTCTTCATCTTTGTGGTGTCTGGTTGCAGCAGTCTTTATCTTTGCTTCGTCTGGTTGCAGCAGTCTTCATCTTTGTCATGTCTGGTTGCAGCAGTCTTCATCTTTATCGTGTCTGTTTGCAGCAGTCTCCATCTTTGTCGTGTCTGGTTGCAGCAGTCTTCATCTTTGTCATGTCTGGTTGCAGCAGTCTTTATCTTTGCTGCGTTTGGTTGCAGCAGTCTTCATCTTTGTCGTGTCTGGTTGCAGCAGCCTTTATCTTTGTCGTGTCTGGTTGCAGCAGCCTTCATCTTTGTCATGTCTGGTTGCAGCGGTCTTCATCTTTGTCGTGTCTGGTTGCAGCAGTCTTCATCTTTGTCGTGTCTGGTTGCAGCAGTCTTCATCTTTGTCATGTCTGGTTGCAGCAGTCTTCATCTTTGTCATGTCTGGTTGTAGCAGTCTTCATCTTTGCGGTGTCTTGTTCATTCCAGCAGTCGCCATAAATTTTCTACAGTTAGCTGCATCTGTACGAGACAAGGAGACCAGTATTGGCTTCCTACAACAGCATGACATTCTGTACGAGACAAGGAGACCAGTACTCCCTTCCTACAACAGCATGGCATTCTGTACGAGACAAGGAGACCAGTATTGGCTTCCTACAACAGCATGACATTCTGTACGAGACAAGGAGACCAGTACTCCCTTCCTACAACAGCATGACATTCTGTACGAGTCAAGGAGACCAGTACTCCCTTCCTACAACAGCATGACATTCTGTACGAGACAAGGAGACCAGCACTCCCTTCCTACAACAGCATGACATTCTGTACGAGACAAGGAGACCAGTATTGGCTTTCTACAACAGCATGACATTCTGTACGAGACAAGGAGACCAGTACTCCCTTCCTACAACAGCATGACATTCTGTACGAGACAAGGAGACCAGTACTTCCTTCCTACAACAGCATGACATTCTGTACGAGACAAGGAGACCAGTACTCCCTTCCTACAACAGCATGACATTCTGTACGAGACAAGGAGACCAGTACTTCCTTCCTACAACAGCATGACATTCTGTACGAGACAAGGAGACCAGTACTCCCTTCCTACAACAGCATGGCATTCTATACGAGACAAGGAGACCAGTACTCCCTTCCTACAACAGCATGACATCCTGTACACACTGAGATGTTGCAGAAACAACCATCAGATGCTGCTATCGCTGTCTGGAAGACACGACCGTTGGCGGTGTCGAAAGTCCACTTGCTGTCTGGACATACCACTACGGCAAGGAACATGGCTGGAAGGGTTGCGGCTCCTGTATAGACAGATCATTCTGTTTATATACTGCTGGTCTCACGAGATGACAAGCATTCAGTTCTGCCAAGTAGAGCTGAGCATGTTGCCGACTGCGACCGTGGAATGTTAATACATTGTTACTGAATCCTGCAGTGATCGGCGAGAGAAAAACACCACTGTTGAAATCAATGAAATTGATAAAAGTCTCTTTGCAAGATGCAAAAATCATGTTGGATCTGTGTTTCCACAACAGTGGGTATTTGGCAGTCTGTTTTCTTTTTAATAACTGCATTTCACTATTTTGGCAACAATCGGCGGGCCACTTGCTAGGCCTCGGCGGGCCAGATTTGGCCCGCTGGCCGGCAGTTGAAAAACCCTGATCTATATTAACTAACCCTTTTTGCCGTTCCCCCCCCCCCCTTCCTCCCCCACAGTACCCCAATTGGCAATTCCTGCAATTGCACATATAGTTCACATAGCCAAAGTGTACATTTACTAAACAAAACACACTTTACATTTGAAAAAAAAAAATGGATTTACAAAAAAAAAACATCACATAGGGATTGAACATGGCACCTTTCATTTATAAGGCGGATATGATACCAACTACGCTACATATTCACATGACAAAAGGATATGAAACATGACCAGTATTATACACTGGGAAATTGCGCATCAACGAGCAAATGATTGCGCACCAACAGACAGATACATGCCACATCAAAAAACACGAAGAGAAACAAAAGCACACTTGCACCCCTTGAAATATTAGACTGTCCCAGTCAGCTGTAAAATTCTTATTTACTTCCTTTGTTTGGGGTAACTAATAAATAATGCACCCAAAATCAGTTATAGGACTACTGAAACACTATCAGTCCCACCAGTGATCAGGTATTTTCCCTGTTTGCCAGACAACAAAAATGTGGCTGCTGTTTAGCCTAATCATGCTGTAGAAATCTGGCTGGTTATTCTAACACCCAATTATAAGTTGCTCCTTCTCTTCTGTATGGTATATTTATAACTGTATGTTTAGTTTCTCCTCCTCTTCTATCCTAGTATATCAATATCTGTATGTATAGTTTCTCCTTATCTTCTTGTATGGTATAATAATAAATGTGTATAGTTTTTCTTCCTTTCTATTTTGGTAAATTTATATCTGTGTGTATAGTTTCTCCTCCTCTTCTATCCTGGTATAATAATATCTGTGTGTATAGTTTCTCCTCCTCTTCTATCCTGGTATAATAATATCTGTGTGTATAGTTTCTCCTCCTCTTCTATCCTGGTATATTAACTGTATGTATAGTTTCTCCTCCTCTTCTCTCTGGTATATTAACTATCTGTGTATAGTTTTTTCTAGTTTGTTCTCCTCTTCTATCCTGGTATATTAATATCTATACAAATAGTTTCTCCTCCTCTTCTGTATGGTATATTAATATCTCTATGTATAATTTCTCCTCCACTTCTATATGGTATATTTATAACTGTGTGTATAGTTTCTTCCCCACTTCTGTCCTTGTATAATAATGAATATTATGACAACCTACAATATACACATGCCCTCAGATGCATATACATATCTAACATATATTCAGGCAATGAGATACACGTTCAATGGGGTATATGTGCACCTACAGTTTCTCCTCCTCTTCTATCCTGGTATAACTGTGTGCAGTTTCTCCTCCTCCTTTTATCCTAATATATTAATAACTCTATGTATAGTTTCTCCTCCTCTTCTTTGGTATATTAATATCTGTGTATAAGTTTCTTCTAATTTGTTCTCCTTTTCTATCTTCTTATATTAATATCTGTGTGTATAGTTTCTCCTCATCTTCTATCCTGGTACATTAATATATGTATGTATAGATTCTCTTCCTCTTTTGTTTGGTATATTATCTCTGTGTGTATTTATATCTTTTAGAGAATTTGTGTCTGTGTGTATTTATATCTTTTAGAGCATTTGTGTCTGTGTGTATTTATATGTTTTAGAGCATTTGTGTCTGTGTGTATTTATATGTTTTAGAGCATTTGTGTCTGTGTGTATTTATATGTTTTAGAGCATTTGTGTCTGTGTGTATTTATATGTTTTAGAGCATTTGTGTCTGTGTGTATTTATATGTTTTAGAGCATTTGTGTCTGTGTGTATTTATATGTTTTAGAGCATTTGTGTCTGTGTGTATTTATATGTTTTTAGAGCATTTGTGTCTGTGTGTATTTATATGTTTTTAGAGCATTTGTGTCTGTGTGTATTTATATCTTTTAGAGCATTTGTGTCTGTGTGTATTTATATCTTTTAGAGCATTTGTGTCTGTGTGTATTTATATCTTTTAGAGCATTTGTGTCTGTGTGTATTTATATGTTTTAGAGCATTTGTGTCTGTGTGTATTTATATGTTTTAGAGCATTTGTGTCTGTGTGTATTTATATGTTTTAGAGCATTTGTGTCTGTGTGTATTTATATGTTTTAGAGCATTTGTGTCTGTGTGTATTTATATCTTTTAGAGCATTTGTGTCTGTGTGTATTTATATGTTTTAGAGCATTTGTGTCTGTGTGTATTTATATCTTTTAGAGCATTTGTGTCTGTGTGTATTTATGTTTTAAAGCATTTGTGTCTGTGTGTATTTATATGTTTTAAAGCATATGTGTTTGGGTGCATTTATATCTTTCAGTGCATATGAGAATGCCTTGTGACACCATACCATACAAAGCATACATGGAAAGAGGAGGACGTAGAGCACGGGGTAGACAAAGAACAAGATGGAAGGATAACATCAGAGAAACTCTACAACAGCACGATGTGCCTATGGTCGAGGCAGCCAGAAGAGCTAGAAACAGAACCTTAAATCTCCCTCGACACCCACAGCGGTAAAAGAGGAAGTGAAGAAGAAGAAGTGCATATGTCTTACCTTACATATCTGTCTGATTCCACATATTTATATTTGTGCAAGTAAGTAGGTTGGTCGGTAGTTGTACCCCACCAAGACATCACACAAGCGATGGACACCTGGTGACACAAAGTGCCACCATGTGGATGAGGTTCACCTGTGGAGAGGTCCCAGAAACCCCTAACAACCCCGGTTATATTTAGGGTCCCCAGCAGAAGCCAGAGTCGGGCTTCAAATAACACAAAACTGCATCATGTATGTCTGTCTGTCAGTGCATATTCTCCTATGTGTACATCTTTTAGTGAGTGTATATCTTACAGTACATGAATTTGAGTGCACATATACCTCATTGATTGTGTATCTCATTGCCTGAATATAAGTTAGATATGTATATGCATCTGAGGGCATGTGTCTATTGTAGGTTGTTTGTGTACATGTCTGCTCTCTGTCCCCAGTTTCGATGCCTCGCTGGTGAAATCTGAGATTGGGAACATAGATGTGAGTAGACAGCTTTGCCCAGCTATCATCCATCATCATCATCATCAAGTGGCTTGGCAGCCAGCAAGATCACACTTTGTCTCTGCCCTAGTTTTCCAATAGAAGACCTGTTCATCTGTTGATCCCTTATCACTTTTTACATGAACCTTTTCTCTGTGAGAAGCCCCAGACCTGACACAACTAATCTCTATAAATGTGACAACACAGGTGCACTGACTTGACCTTAAAGCCCAATTCACAGCATTGGTTCTGTTTGCGCCTGCACAGTGTTTGAGAGGCCCTGGATATGATTATAGTTAGCATTGAGGGAAGGGGCAGTGATACTGTGGGCCATTATGGGCCTTGACTTAGGGGTTGGATTGTGACAAAGTCACGGAGTCATGTATCAAGTCATGTATCATTTTCTGTTGGGCAAATGTAATTCTCTACTCTGTTTCTACGAGGAAGTTCAGGCCAAGCCTCAGAGAGGTTTTGAACACACAACCTGAGGTCTGGCGGGCCACTGAGTTATTGCAGCTCCTATATTTGTTAAAGAACAAATGCATCCATACTTCAAGAGCTGAATATTGAAGAGGGTTGGCTAGTAAAGACAATAAAACAAAGAAAATTGAAATATTTTGGTCACTTGAAACGTCATGGAGGTCTAGAGAGAACAATAATGGAGGGGTATATGCCTGGGAAGAGAGGAAGAGGAAGGCCAAGGAGAAGATGGGTGCAGGATGTGGCAGATGATCTCCAGATGGGTGTATCAGACGCAGGACATCTTGCTCATGATAGGAAGGTTTTCCGGAGGGTTGTTATGGCAGCGAGGTTCCGCGAGGGACATGCTACTGAATAAATGAATGAATATTTGTTAATGCTAGTTCATCAAAGTTCCAACTTCACAGCAGACAGGTCATCCCGGATTACTTCCTTTCTGTGCCAGCAATAGACAGGTCATCCCGGATTACTTTCTTTCTGTTCCAGCAATAGACAGGTCATCCCGGATTACTTCCTTTCTGTGCCAGCAAAATACAGGTCATCTCAGATTACTTCCTTTCTGTGCCAGCAAAATACAGGTCATCTCAGATTACTTCCTTTCTGTGCCAGCAAAAGACAGGTCATCTCAGATTACTTCCTTTCTGTGCCAGCAAAAGACAGGTCATCCCAGATTACTTTCTTTCTGTGCCAGCAAAAAACTAAACGGAGTGTCCTTGCTGTCCCTTATGAAGAAAGTGTAACAGACTGCAGTGTCTATAGTGCTGTAGTTTTGCTGTCCAAAATAGAGGCACAAAATAATATGTCCTAATTTAACAAACTCTGGGGGGGGGGGGGGGGGGGGGGGTTGCGGAGATCAGCGTGCACATTCAGTCAGAGGACACAGAAAGACAGTGAAACAGGCATACAGAGAGAGAGAGAGAGAGAGAGATATACCGACACAGACAGTGAGATACACTCAGAGACAAACAGAGGACACAGAGATACACTCAGAGACAAACAGAGGACACAGAAAGACAGTGAAACAGGCATACACAGAGAGACATATACCAACACAGTGAGATACACTCAGACAGAGGACACAGAAAGACAGTGAAACAGGCATACACAGAGAGAGTTATACCAACACAGACGGATGGACAGATTACAGAGGAACAGGCACAGAGACATCACATAGGAGATTATCTGTGACCCCCCCCCCCCCCCCCCACACACACAAAAGACACCCACCCCCTCACAAGCAAAGGTGGGATTGAAAAACAAATTTGGGTTAAGGGTGGGGGAGGGGAACTATAATTCCAGTACATTGGTCTGTTATCTTTATTTTTTGCGGGACAGACACAACATTTAGTTCTGATTTAGGTTTAACTTTTTATCTCCACAGGTTAAAAAAGCCAAGATTTTTATCGAAGGAGTTCTGACTTTTGCAATTATTCCAGAACTGAACAGTAAGTGAAACAACCAGGCATGAGCTTGCTCTCTCTCTCTCTCTCTCTCTCTCTAAATGCTGGTTGATTTTACATGATACATCTCTCCATGGTTGCTATTTACATAGTAAGTTCTTTAGTTGTATAGGGGTCCCACCTCATATAGCTGTATCACTGGTTACCTATACATCCCTAACTGTGTTGGAAGTTACACTAAATATCCCTAACTATATATACATGTCACTGGCTTAACTATATGTCCCTTATTTTGCATGTCACAAGCTTACACTATATGTCCCTAACTGTGTGCGTCACTTGTTATACACTATGTCCTACACTGTACATGACACTGGCTACTCTTATACATCTGTTTGTTTCACTGGTTACACTAGGTATCCCTGTTTCACTGGTTACACCAGGTATCCCCTAACTGTTTCACTAGTTATGCTAGGTATCCCCTAACTGTTTCACTGGTTACACCAGGTATCCCCTAACTGTTTCACAGGTTACACCAGGTATCCCCTAACTGTTTCACAGGTTACACCAGGTATCCCCTAACTGTTTCACTGGTTACACCAGGTATCCCTTTACTGTTTCACAGGTTACACAAGGTATCCCTAACTGTTTCACTGGTTACACCAGGTATCCCTTTACTGTTTCACAGGTTACACAAGGTATCCCTAACTGTTTCACTGGTTACGCTAGGTATCCCTTACTGTTAGTTTCACTGGTTACACTAGGTATCCCTAAGTGTCACTGATTACACATTTGTCATTAACTGTGCATGTCACTACATATCGCTAACTAACTGCATCTGTCATTGGCTACATTATATGTCCCTAAGTGTCACCGGCTACATTATTTGTCCCCAAGTGTATATTTTACTGGCTACATTATATGTCCCCAAGTGTATATTTTACTGGCTACATTATATGTCCCCAAGTGTATATTTTACTGGCTACATTATATGTCTCCAAGTGTATATTTTACTGGCTACATTATATGTCTCCAAGTGTATATTTTACTGGCTACATTATATGTCCCCAAGTGTATATTTTACTGGCTACATTATATGTCCCCAAGTGTATATTTTACTGACTACATTATATGTCCCCAAGTGTATATTTTACTGGCTACATTATATGTCCCCAAGTGTATATTTTACTGGCTACATTATATGTCCCCAAGTGTATATTTTACTGGCTACATTATATATCCCCAAGTGTATATTTTACTGGCTACATTATATGTCCCCAAGTGTATATTTTACTGGCTACATTATATGTCCCCAAGTAGACACTTGGCAGGGGAATACAGGCACACATGTTACTCCTAATTCTCAGCAAGAGCAGAATCTATGTGAAATATGTACAGCCAAGGGTTGACAAACAAAATAAAAGACCACCTCTAAACAGATTACAAAATAGTTACAGGAATGCTTCACTAGGAAACAGACTGAATCTGGACTTATGGTAGAGTCAGTTACTTAAGGGCACTCAATCAAGTCTGGTCAATTTGTCACGTCTTAAGCATATTTAATCCTAGGTGTTCATCTGTAATGTAAAAATCTTAACTTGTTAAATTTATCAGTCAAAAACTATTGTGTCAGTTTTAACTTATATTGCTGTTGAAGCTTGTGAAATTCCTTTAGTGTCAAACATCTTGGTAGATTGTGCCAGTCACCAGCTGTTGTCTCTATATACACACACCTGCTGTTGTCTCTATATACACCTGCTGTTGTCTCTATATAAACCAGCTGATGTCTCTATATACACCAGCTGTTGTCTCTATATACACACACCAGCTGTTGTCTCTATATACACCTGCTAAAGTTAACTGCATCAGTTCTAGCTAGTTAGGTTACCATGCTACTACATTTCTCATTGCTTGTGTTGTTGTTGTTGTCTGTGTTTCAGAACTTGGCAAAGCTGGCATCGACCTACCAGTGACACCAGATGTACAGTTTCTGAATACCAAGCTTATCCTGCAGAATGTAAGTATTTCTCCTTGGTGTCCAGCCAACATATCATCATCCTCCTCACTGCACATCGAAACGTACAGAGCATGCTGAGAAAGGTGGAGACAGGTATGCTCCGTGCAGAGTGGCAAGCATTACTTTAGAGGTCCCAGGTAGTTAGCATCCTTTAGATATTTTCTCCAGGTCACGCCGGTGGATAGATTGGCCGGTTCTGCACCACTTGGCGGTAAACTGATGTATGACAAGCTGGATGTTGTGAGGGCCCTTTGGGAGCGAGTGAACAGTGCCGAGGAACCGATAGATCATTGGAGAATGGCACTGCGAGGAGTTACAAGGGGATCGGTCCGACACTCGGGGGAGCGGGGCGAGACGGATATACAATCAGACTGTTACTATCGGAATTTTAACTCTTCGCTTGCTTCTGAAGATAATGACGGAGCGCTTATGAAAGTGTCCTGAGTGCTGTGATGTCTCATTCAACATTCTCTCCCAACACCTCATATTACACCTGTTGTCTTCATTCTTCTCTCCCAACACCTCATATTACACCTGTTGTCTTCATTCTTCTCTCCCAACACCTCATATTACACCTGTTGTCTTCATTCTTCTCTCCCAACACCTCATATTACACCTGTTGTCTTCATTCTTCTCTCCCAACACCTCATATTACACCTGTTGTCTTCATTCTTCTCTCCCAACACCTCATATTACACCTGTTGTCTTCATTCTTTCTCTCCCAACACCTCATATTACACCTGTTGTCTTCATTCTTCTCTCCCAACACCTCATATTACACCTGTTGTCTTCATTCTTCTCTCCCAACACCTCATATTACACCTGTTGTCTTCATTCTTCTCTCCCAACACCTCATATTACACCTGTTGCCTTCATTCTTCTCTCCCAACACCTCATATTACACCTGTTGCCTTCATTCTTCTCTCCCAACACCTCATATTACACCTGTTGCCTTCATTCTTCTCTCCCAACACCTCATATTACACCTGTTGCCTTCATTCTTCTCTCCCAACACCTCATATTACACCTGTTGCCTTCATTCTTCTCTCCCAACACCTCATATTACACCTGTTGCCTTCATTCTTCTCTCCCAACACCTCATATTACACCTGTTGTCTTCATTCTTCTCTCTCCAACATCTCATATTACACCTGTTGTCTTCATTCTTCTCTCTCCAACATCTCATATTACACCTGTTGTCTTCATTCCTCTCTCTCCAACATCTCATATTACACCTGTTGCCTTCATTCTTCTCTCTCCAACATCTCATATTACACCTGTTGCCTTCATTCTTCTCTCCCCAACATATTGTATTAACCTTTGAAGATGGAGCCTTTTTAGAGTTTGGGTGCCAAAAGAACAAAGCCTTCAGGAGGGGATTCTCATATTCTATATACAAAAAATTATTTCTAAAAAACAGCATTTAATTAACATAAAAACAACTATATAAAAATATATATATATATATATATATATTCGTGTAGGAAATTGAATGAACTAACATAATATTAATGAATCACACTGAAATCTCAACATATTCAAATTAACTATTCTAATTTGCATAGTTTATGCTAGCATTTTTTTTTCACTTGGGAACAGACATGACCAACCTGAAAAAAAAATTATATGTGAATTTTTTTTATTGGTGAAGCTTGAACAAGTCCTAACATGTGTTTTTGGAAGTGAGGCCCTTCAGGCAAGTGGTTCAACTTATATTTTCCTGCCTCCAACTATGTTTCAGTTGCTATGACACAACAGTCCTTTTTTGCCATTGTTTATGCACAAGTAACCCCAGAAACAAACTGATGTAAAATGAAGGCATCAAACTTTCTAGAAAGGCGTCAATGAACAGCCCACATGTGCAAGAAATGCGAGAAGCAATCTGACTGGCTAGTTGTCAGACACCTTTTATAGGTGTGACACAAGTAGAATTGTTATTTGTGCCAGGTGTACCCACACTTCCATGAACATGTAAACGCTGATGACCTTGTTCCAGTTCTTAAACAATGTTTATTTAAGAAACTCTTGATAATTGCAAAGTTAGTATGTTTATTTAAGAACTCATGATAATTGCAAAGTTAGTATGGCTTCCACTACTGAGCAGCCACAGATTGTATTCTTATGGTTCATAAGCACACTAATCTCAGGTAGTCACTGGCTAAATACATCAACATTACGCTGGTATAGCTGATCACAAACTCATCCTCGTAATATGAACAAAGTCACGAGAGGCTAGCTGATGCCTCTATAGCAATAATTCCGTATCCTCCTAACTACTACACTTAACTTTATAATCCGGCTTTATACCACAGAAACACTTATCACCAGTATGAATAACCACTACTGTTCTGTTCACAGTTTTAAATCCAGTCCATTCCAAGCGAAAAAAAAAACAATTCCCACCTTTTAAAAGGGCCCCAAGCAAACACATCCGTTCACTGGACTGTCCAACTACTAACTGCCGTGTGTCACTCTACCTGTTTGTCCAGTCCCCGTGTAACCTCCCCACTCAGTTACCTGTTTCGCCGTGCGGGTCTACACACAAGCCCGTCTGACCAGTAATTGACCTGTCTGCTGTTATGAGTCAGTCTAGTCGTTGTTTGTCTTTATCTCACAGTGTGTGGTAAAGTTGACTCATGACAGTTTCACCCCCGCTTTTCAAAATGATACTATGTATCATTTCTGTTCATGGTTCGTTATTGTACCCTGTGTTATGTTCTTTTGGTGCTACCCGTGTGTAAATCTCTAGATAGATTGTCTGGTCACCTTGCATGTATCATGTCATTACCATTTTCTATCTATACTAGTATAAATTCTGGATTTATGAAGGTCCCAGCCAATTTATGATGCTAACCCATGCTATTCCTTGTACCGCATGCCATCATTTGGTTGAAGGTTGTGTTCTTAATCGCTCGTGTCTTTTGCCCCTTTATCCCGGCTAGTTACCCTGCCTACTTTTGGTTTGCCGTATGTATTAAGTATGTCTTTACTCTTAGGCCGTTACAGCCCCATCATGATCATATGATAATTGATAATACCTCTCACATAATCAGCAGTGACATAAGATGTGATGCATATGAACCGAGTATTCTCTAATGTTTGCTAATGACACAAGTCAGTAAATGGGGAGGGAATAGCTAGTATAGCTAGGACATTTGAGGCTAAGGAGTTAGAATTGGGGAAAATACAAAAGGTGGGGGGGGGGGGGGGGGGGTTAATTCCTGCAACAGAGGGGTTTGTAGACAAAAGAATATTCATGAATTAATTACTGTAAGTATTATCAAAAGCCTTTCATTCATATTCCATGTATTCAACAGACAGCCATTCATCCCCCCTTTTTTTTTCTTATTAAAAAAAAAAATTGTATTTCTTTTTTTTTTCATGTCTAGCATCTGTTTAAAGACGTGACAGGATGTCAGCCAGGGCATTATTTATGCCACTGATGTGGACTAATTCAAAGCTGTAGTTCTGCAAAAGTAGACTCCATCTGTAAATATGATGATTCTTCGGTGTTCCTTCTTTAAAGACTGTCAGTGGTTTGTTGTCTGTCTGTACTATAAACTTCCTGCCAAGCAAATATTTTGCAAATTTCGTAACCCCCACCACAAGAGAAAGTGCTTCAAGTTCTACTGTGGCGTAACGTTTCTCTGCTTCTGACAGCTTCCGACTAGAATAAAGTTCTGGGTGGAGAATGTTCTCATGTTCCTGTAATAAAATACATGATATGGAATACCCACTTGCATCGCACTGTAAGATGAAGGGTTTTTCGAGGTCAGGTAACTTTAAGATTGGTGATTTCGAGAAAGCTGTTTTGATATTGGTCAGAATTTTGTTCCAGCTGCGGGGTCCATGCTATCTTTGTAGGCAATCCCTTCTTAACGAGTGAAGATAATGCTGCTGTCATGCCAGCAAAGTCAGGTAGAAATTTATTGTAATAGTTTATCAGTCCCAGCATTGATTGAACTTGCTTTTTTGTTGTTGGGGCTTTAATATCCAGTATTTTTGAAATAATTTTGTCATCTGTTAGTAAGAATCCATTGCCGATCTTGTGACCCAGGAAATCAATTTGTGTGAACCCGATTTCTACTTTACTGGGTTTTACTTTCAAGCCGAATTCTCTTAATCTTTTAAATACCTGGGTTAAGGAAGAAATGTGGTCCTGCATATTTGCATTGTGAATACAAATATCGTCCATATATGTGGCAACATTCTTAATGTCCTTAAGTACAATGCGCATCATACGAACGAATGTTGCAGGCGAATTTTGTAATCCAAAAGGCATTTTGCACCATTCGAACAATCCCGTCGGTGTGGCAAATGCAGTAATATGCCTTGATTCTTCGGAAACTGGAATTTGCCAGTAACCCTTAGTGAGGTCTAATTTTGAAAAGAATTGTGATTTGCACATGGTAGCAATAAGTTCATCTGCATTTGGTATTGGTTCAGCATCCAAATGGGTAATGGCGTTTATTTTACGATAATCCACGCAGATTCTGAGTGTACTGTCTTTCTTTTTGACGATTACCAGCGGTGATGAATAGTTGGAAGATGACCTCCTAATAATACCACATTTTTCCAATTCAGATATTTCAGCCTCTACTTGTTTTTGATAGTGCAGCGGGATGGGATATGGTTTTGTCTTAACTGGTATTTCTGTTGTGAGTCTTATGTGATGTTGATTACCGATGTGCTGCGCCTGGCGTATCTGAAAAGATGTCTTGGAACTGTTGAAGGATCTTCATTAGTAGTGCTCTATCCTCATGAGGAATTTCGCTGTTGACATTAATATCTTTCCACGACGATTCGACTGTTGTTGAAGGTGTAGGAATTTGGTCAGTTATAGTGTCTTCCTGTTGCTCATTGATGGTTAAGGCTAAAGACGCAACATGCTCGTTTATATGCCTGGGGGGTTGTAGCTCATCTCGAATCTTAAATGGCTTTAGCATGTTAATGTGGAAGATTTTTGGCTTGCCTTTCACCAGTATCTCGTAATCCACATC